ATGCCCATGCCCAAGCCCGGAGCCAGAGACCAACAAGTGGCGCGCGCGCTCGTGTCTTTGCTGCGGGTAATTATATTGTGGTCACGTTTAAGCGGGGCATCTGTTTTATGAAGTGTTACACTTTAACGTTGTCGATCTACAGAGCTCTTGGCAGGTAAAGAGAGAGAGAGAGAGAGAGAGAGAGAGAGACAGGACAAACAGAAAGAGTGCGAACTCTGGCTGAATTGAATTAAGTCAACATTTAGCCTCATCCACTGTGTGGGAGTACTGGAAGTTTAGCTGGCTCTGCGGCTTTGATGGAGTTCAGGGCGGCCAAGCACAGTGGAACTTATGCAACGCCCTTGCACACCAAACACTTTATACCCTACGAAGCCGCTAACCAAAATGGGTAGCCCATAAAGAAACTTTTATTGACCAACCATGCCTGGGTATGGCTCTAATTTTGAGGGCACTGCTCTACTGACTCTCTGTACATATTGATTATGATAAGTAAAATCAAAAATTAAACACATTTCCCTGTTATATGGCTTTTGATTAGTACTTTGCTGCCGCAGTGCAATCGCCGAGAGTGTACCATATTTGATTAGTAAAAATAGGTTTGATGCAATAAGTTGTCATTGTGAAATGTAACTGCCAATGACCAGTGGACGCCCCATTCTCTCCAGAGTATATAACTTGCGTACGAGCTGCCAAGTGTATGTGATTATTTAAATAGCTAGAATTAGGCAGGTACGTAGCGCTGACAGAACGTATCTCTATCGCATCTGTAGATATCTGTTAGAGTTCCCTTTTAATGCGTCTAATGACAGCCCAGACGAGGCGAACCACAGACAACTTGACAACGTGCTCAAGCCCCCGCCATTATTAATTTAAATATCTCCAGCCTGGGCATGGACGTTGGACTTGCTCATGGACATGGACACGGGAATTTGAATTTGAATTGGAATTGGAATTGGGATGGGCCTCTGCGTGGAATGGTGTGTGCATACACAAAATGGTCTTTGCGGTTCGCGACTGTGGCTCTGCCGGCGGTAAATTGGTTGAGGTGAGCGCAGCTCAATAACTCTCATTGTCGCATTTCACACGTTTGCACTGATACTTTGATAAGCAATTCTTTATATGCAATTGCATAGCAACGCAAATTATGGAATATTTGTCGATTTTGGTTATAGTAATTAGCAATTTTGGCCACTAAGAAAAGAGTTATACTTTAATTTATTCGTAGGGGTATTCGGGGTATAATCAAGACCCCAGTTTGTATAAGAAATTATTTATAATTGCATCCTTCAGCAGCACTAAAACAATTTTCATTTGATTTATCAGCAAAAATCTGATGGCAAAATGAACTTTTCTTGAATCTGAATTAATCTATGCCATTGTGCCAACGTGGGCGGCATTTCTACCAGATCTTTTGAGTTTCCGCGTCTCACCTGCCATTTAACCAAATTATTTGTTGTCTAAGGTTTTATTGAGGCGGCTATGACTTTGCTTCTTTTTTTTTTTGTGGCCAAAATGTGTGTCTCTGCCATCTCTTAGCTCATTTATCATTTTTCGTCTCAGCCCGACAACATGTTTGGGGTACAACAACCCGGGCAAAAGCCAGGGAAAAGTAGAGGAGCACTCGAAAAGCTCATTTGTAGTCATTTGTCCGTCTGTCATATTACCCCACAGTCGGCCTGTCCCGTCCCGTCCCGTTCCGTCCCACTGTCAGCTGTGTTTTGATTGTCTTTTATTGTTTTTGCTTTCGTTTTGAATGCCATTTAAGCGTCAATTTGAAATCGCATTCACAACTGCCGACTTACGCGCCGCGCCGCTGATTTCTCGGTTTCCGCTTAAATTCCCAGTGGAGACAATGGCAATATCACGGGGATACAAAATGCTATCTATTTATAACAATGTTCTAAGTGTCAGCGTGAGAGCTCTCAAATATATTGATTATGATGTAGCGAATGATATTATAGATCGCAAGCTGCTGTTCAAGTCTTAATAGTTGAAGTTCCACCTGAATTTTGTGTTATTTTTTTGGGGAAATATGTGTGCACTTACACTGTGTATCACTTTTCACTCTTCAATTGTTGGATATTCGGTTAGCTAACCTAACGGGATCAGAGTGAAGACGCGGTGTCTGTGCAAGACGGTGTCGATGCGATTTGCTGATAAAATGCAAGAAGTGAGTGCTAATTCCAGTCTCATGGAAGGGCAGGCGGGCCGAAGCGAGACAGCGATAGATCGAGAGAGCGATAAATCGAGAGAGCGACTGATGAAGAGAGCGAAATCGAAGGAGAAAGAGGAAAAGAAATGGGAGAGCGTCTGCATAAGCTGCAGCAGTGCGGGAGCTTGCACATGCACATGTACGCTTGTGTGTACATATGTACATATGTATGTATATGCAAGAGCATGTGTAGATTGCAATGTGAGATAACAGTGGGCAGTGCCATTGACAAACAAGAATAGGAGTTTACGCTACTTATGCACCACTGGACTATGTTCTACGAATTACACGCTCACATTTGAGTGCGTAATCAAACATAAAGGGTTTAAAGACAATAATGCATAAATATATACAATAAAGGTTTATTAAACAAAAGAACATTATATGCAGTAAGACACTTAAATTTAATGTTTATGAGCCTATTCTCCGATGATTTCACAGTTCACAAAACCTCAAGAACTCGTGCTGCTGCTTGACTTGTTGTCCGGATGAAACTGCAATTACACTTACAATTTATGAGCCCGGAAATTTCTTTATTACTTGTCGCCGAATTGAGAGCAGGAAGGCTCCCTGTCTGTCTAACTAACCGCAAACTGCTTAAGAATATAAAGGAAGAGACGACCGCACAGCGACCCCCGCCATAGACTTAACCTCACAGCGGAAATTCTGCTTAGAAATGCAACTGGGCTAGAAGGGGGGGAGCGCGAAGGGAGACAAGGAAAAAGCCACTTGGTGAAAATCTAATAATGATAGAAAATATTTCTTGGCCAGAGTTGAGTTTGAGTAGTTTATGAAGTGTGGGCGTCTGGGCTGACAATTTTCCGCAATTTCCACAGTGCTGGCAGCCGACTTTGGGATGATTTGTTATTGCTGTTGGTTCAGGCCTTGGGCATTTATAGCCCAAGCCCGTATTTATCAATGGTGTTAAGTATTATTAATAGTGCGGTTCACTGGAGGCTGGAGAAGGCTGTCAAAATTGTGCTGCACACTGTAATGATTTTAATGGATGGACTTTCGGGACTATCGTATCCAAGCCCAAGTAAGGCTTTCATCCTCAATCGCCTCCCGAAAAGTCATTTAACGTGGGCTGTTTGCATGCGAGTATATGTTAAACTTGCTGGCAATTGTGCTATAATTTATCATGAAAAAAATAAAATCAACAATCGGTTCAAATCGATGCCTTAAAACGCGTCACATTTTTAAAGGAAAGGCAAAAGTACTTGCCGCCTTGCGGAAAACAATCAGAGGCTAATTTAAAGACAATTTCACGGCGCACAATTTATTTTCAGACACAACAATCTAAGCACCAGAAGTGCAGAGAAGAACGAGAGAGACGGTGGGCGGAAAAATCTTAAATGAGATCTTTTGGCGGCGCACACGTAATCTGTGGGGATTCGCATTACTTAAGTCCGAGGCAAATGTCAGGCAAATGCTTTTGTTCGTCCCTCTGTCTGGCAGATTCTACATAATGTGAATAATAATTTTGTTCATTTAAAACGTGTTGGCCGTCCAAAATAGACGGAGACACACGGCAGCAGCAAAAACTAGTCCGAGACCCAGAGACCCAGAGAGCTCTGGAGACAATGGAAAATGGTGGAATTAGCGCTGCGTTCCCCAATGAAAACAGAGCGCAAAACGGGAAGCTGTTCTGCTAATTGCAACGTTTCAAGTTTCATACACACGTGTGTGTCCGGCTGTGTCTGCGTCTGGCAACAAACAAACATCAAGCGGGCTACATGAAAATCGCAGACAGTAGATGAGAGCTGAACAACAGCAGGCTAAGTGATATAAGGAGGAACATAGTGGGAAATTAAAGAGCAACACAATAAAAAAGGGCTTTGTAACACTTTAACACTTTATATATTTTATCATAATTTAAGCAGTCAAAACAGTCAGCCAACTTTTAAAGAAAAGTCCCATCTGAGCCCAAAGAATTCCCCTTCCAGGCGGAAAAAAGGGAAAGACTAGCCACATATGCAGTTCCCCTAATAAGTGTTGGGAAACCAATTTAGCGTGGGTGCTACATGTTCGTAGAGTTTATGAAGGTCGAGGCCCAAGAATAGCCAAGGCAACCGCAATAAAAGTGAGGCCCGAGCATATGATTAATGCTCGCAACCGTTTAATCATTTTTCAAGCAAAAGATTGCTTTCGCTTCAAATGGAAGCAAGATATTTTTGTGCTCGGGCAAGGCATGTCCATCAGAATTATACACCGACTGGACAATCAACTGCAATAGACAAGAGCAGCTGCCAGTTCATCTTGGGCATCTCGTATTCCAAATGGGACCTGGACGCACGGACCGCACTCCCCACAGCCGAGCAAACAAAAAAGCCAAACTAAAACTAAACTCATTTAACTTTCGCCGTATTTTGATAGCATTTTACCTTGCCAGCCCGCAAGAACAACGGGGTCCAGGCAAAACAGGAACAACAAACAACTGTTATCAAAATGTCATTCATTCAAATATGTACCAACTGACAAGGGGGCAAAGGCACGAGACGCAAGGCCTTGGTCCCAGGTCCCTGTTGGCATACACTCTGCAAAAGGCTGACAGCAATTTGCGAGTAAATTATGAAATTAAAGTAGAAGAGTGCCAAGAACTACTCTGATTTGTTTGCAACTCGATGGAAGGGTTTTTATGCTCTTTAAATATTTGTCTCAAGTTGTTTCTTACAGTGTGGCTCACCCTCACCCTGTCTCTCCCTCTCTCTCCCTCTCTCTCCCCCTCTCCCTTGGTTGATTTTCCGCTTTCTTTCATTTGCCATTCTTGTGCCTCTCCTTTTTGCAGTGGCTGCCATTGAGAGCAGCAGCAGCGGCAGCGGCAGCACATCCCCCACAATCGTCATGGTGGCGGTCACGCCGAGCATCGGAGCTGCCACCGGATCGAGCGGCAACATTACCACCGAAGCTCCTCCAGAACAGCAGCAGCCACAGGGTAAGCGCCGAAAACTAATCTGTCCTTCCACACTCCCACTCCTGCCCGCATCCACCTTTTGCTTGCAAACTAAATGACAAACAATGCGCCGCCTCTTCAAATTGTTTATAGGCCAATGCCTCCTGGACGGGCAGTGGGTGCCAGAGACGACGGTGCACTGTGAGAAGCACACAAGCTGCCGCGCCATCCAGCGCACTGGCCACTGTTGTCCCGATTATAAATGCGGTAAGTGGCAGCCCGCCCGGCATCGTTCGGATGCATTTATGCAAATCTCTTCCTTCTCTCCTCCTGCTCCACGCGCAGATTGCGAAAAGGATGGTAACACTTATGCCAATGGTTATAAATTGGTCGATCCGGATACTCCTTGCACTGTCTGCTACTGCAAAGGTGAGTTGATTCAGTTTACGGGGAGTGTTAGCCAAAAGGACATTGAGCGAGCGAAATATAAACTCAGATTCGGGTTTGGGTACCATGAAACTTGTTAACTTGCATCAGAAACAGGAGCTTGAAAACAACATTGCTGTGGATAACTTGAAAACTATTTTGAAAGATTTATAATAAACGAAAAACTCTATAGTTATAGCCACAATGTGCCACAGCGAAAAACTTGGCTGGGCCGCTGGTTTTTAATTAATATTTGTGAAATTAATTTCTGTGCCAGAAAACAATTTCTCGAACTTTTTGACTTGAACTGGAATTTGCTTGATGAACTCCTTTTTTAATAGCAGGATAATCTTTATATCGGTTCTTTGTCAAAACTTCCTCCATTCTTATGCCTACTCAATTTTCCTCGCGCTTGTCGACAAAGGTGAAAAATATAAATAAAAAGAGAGAAACCACGACTGCTAGTTATGTTAATTTGTAAAACTTTGGGATAACCATTTCCAGTTTTAAAAGTATTTTATAATATTTTATCTGTTAGACAAAAGATAAGATACCAGCTGTCAAAACATTACATTTTCGTCCTTTGTGGTAGCGGATGTACATTTTTAGATTAAATTGTTCACCGTGTGGGATAACACAGGAGCTGGGGTGTCAGAGCTGGTTGCTTTAGGTCTTATAGCCCCTGAGATTGGCAATATTTTGTTGTGAAAATTGTAATGTAAATATTAAGTCGAGGAATATGTGGTGGCAGATGTTGGCCACACTTTTCATATTTGAAGTACCAAAACAATCACACTCGATTCGTTACAGGCGGCGAAGTTGTTTGCAGCTCAGTGACCTGTTTCCGGCGGGACGACTGCATGCCCAAATACGTGCCCGGCCGCTGCTGCCCCGAGTACGACAATTGTCCGAGTGAGTGCCACACTTTGTGAGCTTCATTGAGTTCTAGACTAATGTTTTCAACCACAATTCACAGTTTTGGACAACAATCCGCCGCTGTCCAGCGAGACGAGCAGCACGAGCACCACGACAAGCACCCAGAAGCCGGCTGGCGTCGCTCAGTCCGCTGGCTTCAACTGGAACATAACCATTAAGGAGATCACCAAGCCATCTGAGATTCGGATTACCGATGATAACAAATCTAAGTCGGCGATTCCCACCAGAAAGTCGGGTGTTACCACCGAGGGAGCACCGGCATCATCGGCAGCAACAACAACTTCGAGCAACTCCGTGGCGAGTACAACGGATACAACAACAGCAGCAACAGCAACAAAAGCAACAACAGCAGCAGTAGTTTCAACAACAGAAGCAACAACAACAACTGTCGTGATATCAACTGAAGCAGCGACAACAGCGACAACGTTGGGACAGCAGCTTAGCCAAGACACAAACCAGAAAGTACTTCCAGCCACTTCCAGCAGCGAGAGCTTAAAGCTTATTGCCGCCGCCTCGGTGGGTTTCATAGGGCGGCCACAGAGCGGCAACGAAGTGGAACAGAATACAAAGCTGCCAGCCGATGGTCCGCTGCCCTTCGCCGAAAATGATCCCAGCAAGGTCAGCTTTAAGCGGGAATTCACCACAGAGAGGCCGAGCAGCCAAGGATACGAGGAATCTGGAGCGGAGGCTGCTGTGTTCATTGAGGATGCCTCTGCTGAGCTACCCGACGGAGCCGAACAGGAGCCGGACACAGCGGGTAGTGACAACATCTACCACATAATCTCCACGACTGAAGGTCCCAGCTCGAGCTCCCCATTGCCAGGAAGCAGCACCCCTAAAGGGAAGAACAGCACTGAGGCAGAAATAAGTACGGAGGGACCCGGCAGTAGCACTGAGATGCCGCCCATGAGCTCCACCCAACACATGGATGCGGATGAGGATGTGCCACAAGTAGAGTCCAATCCGGCGTATCCCTCCCTGCCCGAAGATGATTTCAGCTTGCGTGACGTCAACTTTCCCTTGGTGGACCTGGAGGATGTTGCTGATTCTTATGCCAAGGATGAGCCGAGGAGCATTCTGCGGAGTCCCTTCGAGGTGGACAACAAGCGTACCAAGGTGTTGCATGAATCAACTGTGGATGGCAGTGGCAGCGGAAGTGGCAGTGGGGACATGGAGCCCTATCTGGAGGAATCCTCGACAGTCGGTCACAGCAAGGAGCACAGCTCGATGGTACCCCTCCTCATGTACAGTGCCGAGGATAATTCCGGGGAAACGCGCTTTCAGAACGCGAGTGATCTGCAACTGGAGATTATTGGCCGCAGGCAGAAGGAGAGTGAGACAAGCGAAGAGCTGATGGGGGGTAGTGGGGAAATCAAAGAACCCACCACACCGCGATCCAACCCAAGCACTGCCTTGGACATCGATGAGCTGGGCTCCGGTGCGGGTCAACTACAGGCTTCGAGCGCTGTGGATCCCAAGGCCGATGCCGAGAGCCTCAAGCTCGACGAGAGCCAAGAGACTATAGCCAAGATGACCTCAGCAGATGACAAATCCTCGGTGCGTGCCGAAAAGAGTTTAGTGGAGCTGGCAATGCCCCTGGGACGGCTCTACCTGCAGCGGATCTATTAATCAGAGGCCTAGATCTGAAAAACCAATCCCTAATTGTATATAAATATATTATATACACTCTAAAGCCTAGTATCTTGGAAACACACAATGAAAATCCAACCATCGAAAGGATCGAGTGTTAGGTGTAAGTAGTCAGAAAGTGAGTAGGGAGAGAGTTCTCCTGGGAGCTATAATTTCCATAGACTGCATCGGAATTTATCAACCATAAAACATATAAAAATTATCCTACGATTAGCAATGCTGGGCTCTCCAAATGCAATAACTAAATGTCTCTCGATGCGCATAAGCAAGCAACACGAACAGGCACCGCACAAGATATATTCATGAATATCTTTTATTTTTACGTAAAACCCATATCTAGTAAGTGCACCATGAGCATTCTATCATTACCATACACACACCCCACTATCGAAATTCATCGCCATTTGTTTAACTTGTTTTATCTCATCCTGAATTTATTTAATTTGTAACTTATTATGGAAATGATTTATAAACGGAAAGCCGATTGATGTGATTTATTTGCTCTAAAGGTGATTTATTTAGTCCTCTTCGATTTGAAAAGCTTTTAAGTGTAGACTGAATATGAAAAGGTTTTTAATTTAAAGCAACTTACACGTACACCTACTTTAACAATTAATTTATACACCGAATTTAATTAATTTAAACTTGGCATGAAATAAACATATTCATCGACATTAAGTACTGAATATTTAGTATTCGTTTCCAACTCTCGCCTGAATTTTAAAACTATAATAATAATACATAAAAACTAAGGAGAAAGCAAAGTGTCAAAATGATAACTTAATCATTTTTTATATTTAAGTAATAACTTATTTAAGCGATTATCCCACTCTCACACACACACACACACACACACACACACACACAACCACACAAAGTTTTTTGAGATACGATAAACCATAATCTAGAAATACTTTAACTAGTGTAAATTTAGTATCAAGTCAATTTTCAAATGTATGAATTATATAAAAACAAACAAATATTTAATTTAATAAACGAGAAAATAAATAATCTCAATAAATACCATTAAGAACATTGGGAATACCAGGCTTGAACCAGACTTCTCCTAAGAAGACTCGTAATATGTTCATTTTGTTATATTCAAAGGTCTCCCCTGTCCTACCCATCGGATTGCACAAGCAGCATCAGCAACGCCCTCTCGGATCCCTCATTACACATGCACGAACATGAGGCGGCAATTACCGAGAAATTAAATAAACAAAACGAAGCCCGACAAAAATTGAACGAAGACCACAAGCACGACGACAATTGTTGCATCACGTCAGCTTCGGCTGCGCTGCGCTGCGCTGCCGCTGGACTCGGGTTACCCGCAGACGCCAGCAGCAGCAGCAGCAGCAGCTCGTATGTACCGTATTGAACTTTAATGCACAATCGCACAAAGAGTGTAGCTGCCGCTTATGTAACAAGGTTGAGGATACAACAAACAACGCAGCTGGTAGCAATGTAACTGTTCATTTGTATGCGCCCCGGGATCGGCGAGGAGAAAGTCAGCGAAGAGCGCATTAGGAGAAAAAGCTAAAAAAATACAAAATAAATCACATCGAACCGACCCCCGCAATCACTTTCGATCAAAAATTTAATCGCCAGAGAGGAACCAACTGGTATCGGAGCGGGGGGGGATTACTTTCGCTTTGGCTAGACCAGAAGATAAATGACTGTGATTAAATTACTTTCATTTTTGTTTGTTTTTTGTTTATTATTTTGGAAACTTAACAAAAGATGCGAAATGGGTATGATCTAACAAATAAAGTCTTACATCTTAATTGCGTCCAATCTGATCGACTTGGGCCTGCAGATTGTTGATCACCTCTGAGGGCACCTGATCGCCCAGGATCTCAAAGAGATTGATGCGCTGATTGCCGGGTATCTGCTCGTAGGCACCGAGCTCAATGCCCTCTTGCACATTCTGTATTTGGGCATCCTTGGGTATGAGTAGGGTTTGCTGTGCCTGCCGAATGGCTTCGTTTGTGTAAGCGGCACCCTCGCGGCCCTGGGGCATGGCTTGAGCACCGGCCAGGATCAGGGCAAGCATCGAACACAGCGCGAACACTTTCATTTTTGGTTGAGGATATATAAACTGCAAAAGATGCGCGATTTGTAGATTTAAGTTAATTAATCTTCAAACAACAATTCACGTAGACTCATTTTCACGAGTGATTTAGGTAATTTTAAGACCCTATCTTACCTTGCGCGTGTCGTTTGTTGTAATGTTTCGGCTGCGCAGGCGGCGGGCTTGTTTTATAAGCTGAGCTCCGTCGCTGGAAGACACCAAAGGCTGGAAAGCTTGAACTCTTTCTTTTTGTTTCGTTTCGTTTTCTGGTTTTTGTGCAGCTCACAGGAAAAAAAAACACAAAACATAAAAAGTAAAATTACTTCCAGTCAATTCCATATCCCACCGACCATATCCCATAAACTTATACATGAAATGTTGTTTATACGAAATTTTTCTTGGGCATTTGTCCAAATTTAATGCGAAGGTTGACTTGAGCGCCACTTCAGAAATGTCAAGAGGCATTTAACCTTCCAGTGCCCACTTAACCACGAAGTGGTCTTTCAGGTGCTATCTGGTTCACATTAATAGCATGAATATGTACAATTACCAGTCTTTGACGTACACACATATGTGAAGAGTCATTTACCATTGCTGGCATCGTTGGAAGTCATTTTTATATTTTTCCACATCTCGTTTTCCACATTTTGCGAAAGATTAACAGAAAATAGAGACAACAAGCATGGCTTACAAAACATTTATAATTAGCTTATGTATGTGTTTGTGTACAAAGTCTTACCATAAATTTTGTTACAAGATTTAAATTTTTGCAAAATACGTTTCCCGATAACTTTTTACTAATATATATCGCCAAAACAAAATCGATAGCGGCATGCCCAACACGCGTTTCGGCATTTTCTAGTGTTTCTTTGTCGCGCTACTTGCTGCTTGCTGATTTCTTTTAAATTGTATTCGTATTTAAACTACAAATACTTTACTTTGAAGTTGCATAAACCAATGTACAGACATATATTGGTTAATCACCGTTCTCCACAATCAGTAAGCACTCAGAGCAGCGGTAGTAGCACAGCCGAGAAGCAACAACTTATTTGAGTGCCGCCTACCCTACACGCACGTGGGAACGGTGATGGATGTCGACAACGGCGAGGGGCAGGTGCAAGTTCACCTCAAAACCAAACAAGAACAGTAAGCGTCGCAGATTGAACTCCGCAAATTAATGCAAGTGTCCCTTTGCAGCTATGCAGTGCCAGACGTTCCATATGCCATCGATGGGACAGTCGCTACAGCTGAGCTGAACACATTCGTGAATGCCTTGCTCCTTAGCAAGGGCAGCTCAGCCGTGGACTTTGATTTCCTGGTCTTCGATGAGTACCTGAGGGGTCGCTTGTGTGACCATCTGCGAGAGAAGGCGATTAGCTTTGAGGATGCCATAGAAATTGAATATGTAGAGCGCTTTCCCGCCCCGGAGCCACAAGACTGCTTACTGCACGACGACTGGGTCTCGGCAGTGAAGGCCTCTGGAAAGTGGATTCTAACTGGATGTTATGACAACACCTTAAACATCTGGACGAACAAGGGCAAGCACATTCTCACCATTCCCGGTCACACGGCTCCCATCAAAGCTGTGGACTGGATTTCGCTGGATGAAGACGCCGGTCGCTTTGTGTCCAGCTCGCAAGACCAAACAGCCATGTTGTGGCAGTGGAATGTTGGAGCCAATACTGTTGAATGTGTTTCTGTGTGCAAGGGTCACGAGAGGGGCGTTGATAGCGTTAGTGTCAGTCCAGATGGACAGCGTTTTGCGACTGGATCGTGGGACACAATGCTTAAAGTTTGGTCAGCTGAGCTGGAAGATGCAGGAGAAGGAACATCAAAACGCATGAAGGAGAGCGGAGTTAGAGTGAGTCCGAAATAATTCCACACTGAAATCATTTATGACGCTTTTTATTTCGCAGACCCCAAAAATGACTCTTCAGGGACATCGCGAAAGCATCTCTGCGGTGCAGTGGATGGATGCCAGCACCCTGCTCACAGGCAGTTGGGATCACACACTAAAGGTGTGGGACCTCAGCCTGGAAGGCATTAAGGCCGAGATATCCACAAACAAGTCAATCTTCGATGCGAGTTATTCAAAACTAAATCACCTCATTGTGACGGCATCAGCGGACAAGAATCTGCGACTGTACGATTCTAGAACAAACCGTAGGATCTTAAAAAAAGTACTGAAAAAAAATAAATTTTAATTCAATTTGATTGTCTTTACAGAGGGATCCGTTGTGCGAAACACCTATCTGGGCCACAATGCCTGGGTCCAGACAGTGATGTGGTCCACTACAGAAGAATTCCTTTTCGTATCTGGCTCCTATGATAACCAAAACAAGCTGTGGGATTGTAGAAGCCCAAAGGCTCCCCTTTACGATCTGCTGGGCCATGGAGAGAAGGTCTTGGACATCGACTGGTCCAACCCAAAGTATATAGTGTCCGGCGGCTCAGACAACACGGTTCGCGTGTTTAAATCGCGCAAGGCATTAGTAGAAAATATGGACACAAAATAGTTTCATTCAAAGCCCCACCCACCTACTTAATGCTTTTCAAACAACATTTATAAACATAAAATGAATAAGTTTAAAATAAATAATGCCCTATCGTCAGGGCGGCGATAGTTGGGCTGGAATTACAGTATTTTGCAGTTTACAGATACCGGAAATACACATGTTCAGAACAAAAAAGTTTTAAGTCCTCTTGGAAAACTTAAGGAACATTAAATAAAGGGAATAGCGTTCACAAATGTCAATACTACCGGTTGGCAAAGTAACAAGTGGTCAGATTACGTGAAATTTCATTTCCACCTATGTATGGCCACTAGGACCCGATTGACTAAATCCAAAGCCATACAAATCAAGGAATATGATTTCCTGACATGAACAGAGAACGGACAGACGGTATTTAAATACTATCACGAAATAATTACAAGAAACAATTTAAACTTAGTTCCGGTAAAATATATATGTTATATATATACATAACTTGTTTCTGGAATAAAAGTGGATTGATATACAAGCAGAATTGTACAAAAACTTCCGTTGTCCGCGGCTTGAGTTGATCAAGTTGTTTATAGAGGGGGCTAAGTGGGTTAGGTTCGTTTAATCCTCTGTATATTTACGGTATGTTTGGATTTTGGTATATATATGCTGGCCTGCGGTATATTTTATTGATAAATCCGCGGTCACACTGCTTCGGTCTTAATCATTCATATATTTAAGTATTTTTTACTAAACAAAAGCAGCAAACAAAAGCAAAAAGTGTAAAGTCAACCGAGATAAACGTGAACCAAACCGGCCAAAGACCCCGAAAGGTTTCCTCACCCACAGCGCAGGAAAGTGTGTGTGAGTGCAAGGGAGCAGGCGGCAGGTCAAGCGACAGGGGCAAGAAAATCTCTTTTTGCAAGTGTCGCTGTCGCTATAGAAAAAAAGTGAAAGAAATTGTTACAGTGAGGTGTGTATTATTTAAGCAGCAATCAAAAGTAAACCAGAAAACCAAAAGCTACAGCAAATAATAAAATTGTGCAATCATGCTGCATGCGGTAGCTTAGACGTCGGCGGCGGCAGTGGCAGCGGCGGCACCGCGTTTTGCAAATGTCTGCTGATTGATTTTTACTGCGACATGCAATTCGGCGAAAAAGCCATCCCAACTGTGGAAACTCTTTCACATTTTTTCTCAAGTGGGAAACCTTTCCGCTTTCAGACAAATTACTCCCTGCTTGCGGCAGTAAGAGCCGCGCATTGGGCATAGTCGAGTTTGCCAAAATGGCCGCTGCTGAGCGCTGATTAATATTACACAAAAATTGTGCACGGCTTGCTCTCGAATCAGACTGATGAATCTGTGAATTTCAGCACGTTGCCCCACGCTGAGAGATTTCCTGGGAGAATTCGGGTCAAGGCCCTAACACCACTCTCACTTCTCACTCTCCACTCTCTCTCTCTCTCTCTCCTTGCAGCCTGGCAGTCTCGACTCTCAGACATGTCCTCAACTCCAGCAGCGGCAGCAGCCGCAGAAGTGGCCACCTCCAGCGCCAGCTCTAATTCCAGCGCCTCCAGCACAGCCAGCACTGCCAACAGTCAACCCACATCCACCGGACCAGCGCCGCCGGCCCGTGGTGGAAGAGGCTCCAATGCCAACGGTGGCGCCTCGGGCAGCAACTCGGGGGGCAATGACGAGCCACGCAAAGATGCCAAGCCGACGCCTCGAATATCGAAGGCGCTGGGTACCTCGGCCAAGCGCATACAGAAGGAGCTGGCCGAGATCACACTGGATCCCCCACCGAACTGCAGTGCTGGCCCAAAGGGGGATAACTTGTACGAATGGGTGTCCACCATCCTAGGTCCGCCCGGGTCCGTGTACGAAGGTGGCGTGTTCTTCCTCGACATACACTTCTCGCCGGAATACCCATTCAAGCCGCCCAAAGTCACATTTCGCACACGCATCTATCACTGCAATATCAATAGCCAAGGCGTCATATGCCTGGACATACTGAAGGACAACTGGTCGCCAGCGTTGACCATATCCAAGGTGTTGCTGTCAATTTGTTCCCTGCTTACAGACTGTAATCCAGGTAAGAAGTCCACTTGCAACTCACGGAATTCGCAACCAGCTTGACCCCGTTTTTTCTACGCTCCTAGCTGATCCACTGGTGGGCAGCATTGCTACGCAATACTTGCAGAATCGAGAAGAACACGATCGAATTGCGCGTCTCTGGACAAAGCGGTAGGTTCAAGTTATACAACATCATTAATTTTGTATACAAATTATTAATATTTTATTCATTTATTTAGGTACGCAACATGATGCGTAAGTTTTTGCAAAACACTTGTACCACAAACCGAAAACTGCAACCACAAAAATGAAAATTCGCATCTTGATAAGGAGAAACTCTATTTTATAAATATATATTACACTATGCTAAACACTAAACCTAAATTAACAGTAACAGTAACAGTAACAGTAAAAGTAAAAATAACAATTACCATACGACACAGGAACGTGTAACTCAAACAGCAACCGCCAAGAGCCAGAAATAGTCGATTCCTTTAAGCCTACAAATTGTAAAAAAAAAAACATTTGAAGTTTTCTAATGTTGTATTTATTTTGGTCGCTTGGAAACCACACAAATTGAACAAAAATAACAGGAAAAGTCATCCAAAATACACAAACTGTCATTCAACTGCATAAATATAAATACAATTAGTCTACTTCATATGTGTACAGTGTTAAGTGAAAAGGAGGGAAGCTAAAGCTAAATACAAGTAAAAAGAAGAGAGCGTATTTTAATGCATAAAAACCTATAGAAAAATCAACATCAGGTCAGGGTCAGGGTCAGGTCAGCAGATTCAGTAGCCTCTTTTTTAAATCGCAAAAGGACCGCAACAAAAGCAAATTCTCAACGACAAAAGACTAAAACAAAAACGATTTATGTATACAAAATTTAAGACAACTTTTCCAAATTCCAAAAAAAAGAAGAAAATAATCAAATTTTTGTTATTTATATAAAAAAAAACTAAATTCGGTTTAATTTTTAATGTGATATCTGTAAGCGTATTATATTTGTTCTTTTTGGCCAACTGTTTTCCAGTAAAAATGAAAGACTTAACACAATTTTTTGAGCTGCCGCAACAACTGTCATTTCCGTGCGGTACTTTAAACTTAAAAACAAAATCAAATACGAGCATAATTAGCAACAACAAAAACGAAACAAAATATATACAGAAACAGACGAAAACCAGCTTCCTATTATTTTGTAGTTTTAATGACCAACCACAAGAGTCAAAGAATCAATGAGAAAAACTGAACATTAAAATATAATAATAAATAAATAATAATGTAAGTTTTTGCGTAAATACAATACAAAAACGAAACAAAACAGAACCGGCAATTAGGATGAAAAAATATCTTAATACAAAAAAAAATAAAAAAAAACAATAAAGGAAATTATATGAAAAAGTGAAGACACAATTTTTAATTTAAGTTCACTTTTATTTGATATAATCGTACATTTGTTTATATAAAATATGTGTCTCATTACAGTACTAGTCATAATTATATGTACCGACAGGTTCCCCACTTCGGTCCCTGGTCTGTTTTAGAGGTACATTCCATTGACCAGGAAATCCGCTTCCTGCGAGTACGGGGTCTTGCCGCCCACACGCCTAGCCCTTCGGCCCACTGTCCGCATCCGGCAGCCAATGAGAATGGCCAGCGCGGCGGTCACGAGCAGGCCGAACGTTAGGGACAGCACAGCGCCGCCGGGACGCTCCGAGTGACCATCGTGATCGCGAAATTCCAAAGCCAGATTCTCGTGAATCATTTTGTATTGTTCATGCACAGGTGCCACAGGAACGGGCAGAGCGGATACCTCCTGCTGCGGCTGCTGTTGTGTCTGCTCGAGGGCTAACTCTATGGGGTCCTTGGCGGCGGTCTTCGACTTGACCTTTTTGTGCTTGCGCTGCTTCTGTGGAAAAGCTTGTTAATTTAGTTGGGGAAAAGGTGAACAGAATGGAAATTTCTCACTTTCTTTGGAGCTTCTGTAGACTTTTCCTCCTCGTAATCATCATAGTCCTCGTCGGCTCCCCCGGCACCCTGGTTCTTGCCATGTGTGGGCGCTGCATTCAGGACAGGCAGCATAGCCTGCTGTGGGACGGGCATACGTGGGGCTGACCCGTATACTTGGCTTTGTTTTTGAGGTGCCATTGGAGCTGGTTGCTGCGCCTGCACTTGTGGCCATGCCGCACTTTGCTGCTGGGCAGAGGATGATGGCAGTTGCTGTGGCTGTTGCTGCGGTGGCGACAAATACATTCCAGAGCGTGGCAGCGACATCCCATACACAGAGCCAGCCGCAATAGCTTGATTATTGTCATAGCCGGGCAATTGGAGCTGTGCTGAGTGTCCCTGAATCTGAACCTGCCCCGGTCCCACTCCCTGTCCCAGGCCACTTGACACCTGCTGCAATTGGAGGCCGCCTTTGTGACTGAATATGTGGCTCTGCTCATCTGCAAGAGAGCATTGAATCGTTTCAAGGAAGTACTATAGAGTGTGTCTCTGGTTAACGCAGCAGCTAATTGAATTAATTACGAGTGGACACAAACAGACACACAGCCACACACACTCGTCAATTAATTTCGAGCGACTCCAGCTCCCATTACACACACAATGGAAACAGTTTCCCAGAAGAAACCCAACCCGGCGTCCAGAGTGGAGTGGTGGATGGTGAGCTTGATCCCGGACAGCCAGTTCATTAACCGACTCGTCTTACATCTTTTCTAAATATTTATGCAATTATTATTATCTGTATTAGTATCTTGTTTTGCTTATTTTGTTTGCATAGGAAAGTTTTCAGATACAATTACTGCATGGGAACAGAACAGATAACTGATAGAAATTGTGGAAGGAATCGTAATTCCACCTTTAAGGGAACTCTGACTGCTCGAAACGGTCTCAGAGGTTAGCTGTCTTCAAGGTTGTTTTATTTTATTCGCTAATTTGAGTTTACTTTCCTCTTAATGCAATAGATTTGTGGAACAAATAATGCGAGATAACTCAATGGCAGAATTAATCTAATTTTAAGATCTGAGCGATCTATTGTTACTTACCATTATTCAAAACTTCACCCTGAGCTTGTGCCAAATGGATTTGCTGCTGTTGTTGCTGGGTCAGGGACTGCTGCCCATCGACTAATATCTTGCGGTTGGCCCAAGCGGCAGCATCCTCGCGATTGTTAACCATTGGTGGAGGTGGCGGCGGTGGAGGCGGTGGGCCCAGAACTATAACATGCTGCTGCTGCTGCTGCTGCTGCTGGGGCAATGTCCGAGCTGAAACCGTCAACTGCTGCTGTATGGGCGTAGCTGGCAGATATTGCTGCGGGGCCAAGGGCTTGATTAGATCCGGGTTGCTGCTTGGGGGCTTGGTGACCGGCGACGAAATGGTAATGCACTGAAAGCAAACAAACAAAACATTTCGGTGAAAGGGCAAGGGAAGGTGTTATGGTACTTACTTCCGGTCCCTCATCGCTGCCATCCTCGCATTGGGGTATGCCGTCACAGGCGTTGTAGACAGCAATGCATTCGCCCGAGTGGCAAGTGAACTGGAAGCGACCGCAACTGCTGATGGGAGCTAGAATGGGGAAAATGTTCGACAGTCTCTCAGTTGAATTGCTGCAAGTAAACGAACCACTTTGGACCGGAGCAACCGCTGGCTGAGCCACACCCGATGGGACAGAGGCAGCCGCCGCCGCAACAGCTGAAGCTGTGGACACCGTTGGCTTGTCCCGCACTTCCGGCTTTAGCTTGAGGTTGCTCAGCTCCCACTCCTGCTGCGAGATATTGTTGCTAGGAATGTGCGGCAACTGAGTTCGTGGAGTGCTGGCCACTTCGCTTTGCACGGCCTGGGGCTGGGGGGTCAGCACGGCACTCGTGTAGTTCGCGTGCCGCGTGAACTTGCAGTGGAAATTCTCTGGCGGACCACACTCGAACAGGTAGCAGTAGCCACCGGCTTTCCGCTCAAAGATGTACACATCGCAGGCGTCCGTCTCGCAGCACAGGCGCTCGCACTCCTCAATGGTGTCCAGCTCGAGGCCCTGCAAGTACTTGCCCCCGATCGCCTGGGACTCACCGGTGCGGATTATCGTGTTCTTGTGGACATCAAAGTGGCCTGCGAATCAAGTGGAGGATTAAGTCTAGGAGTGGTAAATTATTTGTGCTTTTACGCCTTACCTATGCACACCTCTAGGTCCATCCGCTTGGCCAGTTGATGCTGCACAAACGGACTGGTCTGTGGCCCATTCACCACATACTCCGTTGCTTCCACTGCGACGAGCAGCAGTGGCAGCGGCAGCAGCAACGCAGCCAGCGGCATATTGGAAAACATTTCAAAGGCGAACCTTGTGTGGAGGGGGATCAGGTGGAGTAGCGCAGAGGCTGGTCGAGGGCTTGGCGTGTTTACAAAATTTCTCGTTTATTGATTTTTGCGTGTGCCTCAAATTTCACTACCATCTGCTTCTGCCGCGTCACAACTAAACGTTCACAGATTGTTTTTTGTTATACGATTTTTCACTGTTTCAGGCTGTATTTTTTTTGTGTGGCCTCGAAATAATTTTTTCGAAAAGGAAACAAAAATACTGCATTCAGCCAAAATGTAAACCAATGGAAAGTCCCTAGCAAATTGCTGACTTTCTCTTGCTGTGGGGGTGCACACGACAAAACACAACCCTTAGACGAGGAAAGCTTTGGGGGCTTTTGAAAACAGCTGTTGGGGTGGACTTTTATCGACAACGGGATGTTCCAGGGAAAGCTCATTCTGTCCTTTCCAGTCACCATATGGTGCAGCCGGCTCGGCTCTTCTCATATCTCAGCAATGAAAATCGATAAAAGCTCGGGCTCTTATCTTTGCTGGAGTCTTTAATAATTAAGCACTTTCCAAGCATTCTTTGAGGACTAAAGCACGGGATGAACATGAACTAAAATAAGACTTTATTTCGGAGAAGACTATTCAAATAGCTCCAACAGGGGTGGTCCTAGAAATCATGTCAAACGCCACCACAGAAAGGAACCTTTTACCAACTTTACAGGCATCAAGTCATAGACCATCATTAAGGCTATATATACAATATACGAAACGGCACCTCTCCATCTGTAATGCTTGAGGGTACACTGTTACCCAGCGCCTGCGCAGTGTCTGCCTTGTAGCTTTAAGGCGGTCAATGGGAACTTGAAAAATGTTAATGAAAATAAAGAGCGTCTGCCACAATTTCGTGCACGTGCACTCCCCGTTGCCCATTAAAACACCCGAGCGAACATTGCACAAAAGGGAATGCAAAAACAGCGAGCAGCCAACGGCAAACTCTTTCGGGACACTGCCAACCCCCAGTTAAGAGCAGCAATGGAGCAGAGGGAGCGGGGAAAAAAGCAAGTCATAAAGTGGGTAAAATGTTGGAGTCTGGGAGCAACATAACAACAAGAAAAAACCGTTGCATATATCACTGCACCGCGGCACCCTGGCTAGTCAAGTGGGCGTGTTGGAGTTGCCATTTATGTACATGCAAGTACAGTTAACACTTGATATAGAGATCACATTATGTACAAACGTATTTGATCAAGCGATAGGAAAGAGTACGGAAAATCTTTTAACTTCTTTCCTCTGACACTCTTGCAAGTGTGACCCTTTGTGCACTTCTGCGAGGATGTACTGTAAGCGTAGAGTCAGCATCCATATGCACTCACTTACATATACATACATGTACTCTGTGTGCTTATGTTTGTAGCTGTACATATTTACCTTGGGCTGTGCTAATGCAAGAGTCTGTGCATTTTCTATTGCACTCGATGCACACGCTGCAATTTCGACATTTTAGTGCTCTGAAGTTAGTAAGCCTTTGGTTGGAAATATTTTAATGTATTTACCCCTATAGATGAAGCTCTACCAACTTATCCTGAATCTATTGTCCATGCGGTACAAATTTCTATGTAATTCTCCTTTATGTTTTCCCTATTAAGTTTTGTTCTCTGAAAATATTTGTATAAAGGGCATCACCGCTTATGTTGCATATTCAATGCACTCTCCGCGCGGCTGCCACTGGCCATGTTAATGTTGTTGAACGAAGGACAAAGAACCCTTCCATACAAGGACTCTCTGCACGGAGGGCGTGGCACATTAGGGGTGTTTGAACGCTGATTACATTCAACTAAAAAGTGATTTTCGTTTATTTTTAGCACCCAACAGAATGCGCTTAGGGTTTGCCCCATAATTACTTTGCTCTTAGAGCTAACGTTTGCAAGCAACTGTCGATGTTTGGTTCTGCGGGAATTGGTAATGTTCAGCACTTACGAAGACAATGCAGCAAAGTTTATTTCAAGTATTTTGCTTTTATATTTCTACTTGTTTCGACATTTTCCAGGAAAAGTTCATGAGTTTGCATGACTTGTGGGAGTTTGCGCTTTTCCTTGAATGCGGGTTAATGACACAAAACGTGCACTGTGCATTGTTTGCATACATTCTTTATACGTATGTACACACATACAGACATACATACATACTCGCACTATGTATTTAGTTGCTGCACATAAATATTTTACCAGCGAGAAGCACAAAAGCGGCAAAGACCCCATACAAAATGTTTGAATTTAAGTTACTTTTGATATTTTTTTAGATATTTCCTGCTTTTAAAAAGAAAAACCCATGCATTTCCTATAAAAGAACTAACAAATATAAGTATTTTTATCAACAAAGACATCCCACAGCTAAGTTTAAGCCGCCTAAAAAAGTTATTCGCGTCCTCTGAGAAACTTTTTACGGTCGTGTCACAGACGTCGAGACGCCGCTGCCGTCTCCAAAGTTCAATAGCATTGAACAGGGGGTTCCAAAGAAAAATGTATAGACACCGCCCCTACATCCCACCTGACAGGACTCGTAAAGCAATTCGGACAGAAAGGACATGTTCACGTTCTACCCTAAAGCTCGTAAATTTCATACGTTTAGCGAAATGGAAATTTCAGCAGACGCACCACATGGATGGAGAGAAGAGCGGAGAGATGGCATATGGAGAGTGACGGTCTGGGATGTGACTGACAAGACATGTTGGGGTCCGGGCCCTCGCTCTCTGCGTTGCCAGGTGTGTTCCTCGTTAGACTCGTCTCGTGGTTGGCTTTGTGTGGCCTTGCCTCTACAGAACTTGTTATGTTTTTAGCCAGAAAATCCAAGCCGCTCATTTATTAAATACCAAAAGGCTCAACGAGATAAACTCTTAATGAATGTATGCCGCGGTAAAGCAAAAACAAAACAAACTCACAAAGAAGATACATAAATATGTACATCAGCAACAAATACTAAGAAGAGCTTCTGAAGTAAGCATTTTTATTTATGGAAATTAAAAGTTTTTGGTTTATAGTTGAGAACCCAACGAGACCCTTCAATTTTCATTCGACACTTGCCTGCGACATACTTTAAGCTGCCAATTTGGCTCGTAATAAGTTTGGTTCAAACTTGCTGGCCCAAAGCAGTAAATAGTCAGGTTTATTGACATAAGTAAGTTTTAAAGCTGGAAACATTTGCATAAGAAAGGAATAGGCCTTGGAAAGATATTAGAAGAGCCATTGGGCCTAAGAGCAAGCAGCAACAGCAGCCTGAATTTCGTTAGAGAAAAATTCCAAGGAACTTGTGGTGAGATGTGTACTGTGTTACTTTTAAGAACAAATTCTAAGTCTAATTTTTAGAAGGTATATTTTGGTGTAGAACAAAGGCGACTATAATTATTCTTTATTGGAGGTGATGACGAATAAAGTGTTCGCACGTCTTCGACCAAACACTATTCCCGCAAAGGTGTTTAGACAAACCCCAAAAAAACAAGCCTCTGCACTGATGAACTGCTGGCCCAAGAAGTCATTAATTATATGAGAAAAATAAAATAAATAAAAGCGAAGAAAACTTTCAAATGCTCAGACAACGTCGCGACTGCTGAAACAATTCTCGGAGCTATGGCCGTCGGGGAATGGGGAATGGGAATGTGGCCTAGACAGACGGCCGGGGGGGGGGTGGTTGCCCAAATTGAATTAATGGAAAGCATAAAGGCGAGTCTTACATACAAAAGCCAAAGCGTCAAGGAACCCTCAAGTATCAGATATTATGGGGGAATGGCGGGTGCAGAGAGTGCTTAACCACACAACAAATGCGCAACAAGGGGCCATAGAAATGGGGACAGGGTGTGAGATGCTGCCGATGAGTCTGCAGATGAACTCTTGAACTTGGCAGCAGGCAGAGTTCAATGATTTGGCCAAAGCAAATCCCAAACGCATGCGAACGCATGCCAAGGGTCAGAGGCCTTTCCCTAGTTTATCTTTATTATTGCAGTTTATATGCATAAATAAAGAACTCAAGAGTAAGAGAAGAGTTACACCGAGTCAAGCCTGGGCATACATACGATACACATCTAATGTCAATTCTAAGAAAGGTAATTTAATCGGTAACGAGCTCTGCCCGACACATTGTCAAAGGCCAACATCCGATCTGCTTCTCAAATATTTATTTATTGATTTTTTCCGAACTTTTTCCCTCTCCGACATACGCCTGTCACATTTGGATGGATCCACTCTCTCCCCTTCCCCTTCCAATCAAGAAAGAGCTTAATTGACAGCTGAATGTAAGATAACAGCGCGCTGTTACTCTCCGCGGCTGTTAGGTTGATGACTCTGCAGCTGTTACTCTCCGCTGCTGTTAGGGTGCTTACTCTCCAGATGTTGCTCTCAGCTGCGCTGTTGTCGGAAGCACTATGTGTTCTGTTTCTGTTCTGTTTCAAGTTTACGGTCACTTTATGATGCACAGAGCTTCTAACCCTTCACATATACATAAATATGTATTTACATATTTACAGATATTTAAATTAGGGTTTCAGCCTTTATAAATATGTATGTACATATGTACATATGTATAACAAGAGGAACAAACATCTTCTAGCACACAAATTGTTCTCGTTTGTCTCTCCCTGCTGAATATTATATACAGCCCTACGTTGGTGTAGAGCTCTCCTGCAATATATCTTGTTGGTCTTAAAAGCCCTTGCTTACAGCTGTAATACGTAGAATGGTGACTTGTTTAGCCTAGCGTCTAGTTGTAGATTCTGGTATAAGCCACTATAGCACTGGGCAGTATCATTCTGTCTGGGAGACACATTCCCAAAGAAAATTCTCTCCAATTGGGTCAAAATAAAGTACTTTTATTGGTACATATATTTATGTTTGGTCTTAGCTGGTAAGAACTACATCAGAATGTTCAGTGAACGTAATTTTCTCAAGCTTTTTTTGTTTTTGGAAATTGAATTGAGTTAACCCAAGACCAAACAATATTGAGGCATGACCTTAACACGAGCTAGCGGTGGCAGGTGGCTGTGAAAATCAACAAGTAACATCAAAGATGATTGGCAAGTCAATAAATCTACAGATCTCGAGTCTCCCATGCCACCAAGCTAGATTTTGTCTACCGAAACCATTTAAGTTAAAACCTAAAAACAAAGAGAGAATCGAAATATGTGTATATGTATGTACATATCTATGTACATATGTATGTCAGAAACTATCCTACTAGAACCATTTGAGCCCATCATGTGGGCCGGTCATCCACGCTCCACTCATCATTAATCGGTCCATGGGCAGGCCCTCAAATCAACGCGTTCGGCCCACTGAAAGCCAGCAGTCGCCATCGCCCCGGAGAGCTTTCTAGTTCTCTCTCTCTCTCTCTCGCACTGTTATTCTCGCACAGCTATGTTGGGGCAGCTGACTTTCGTGTGTATCCGGCAGAAACTTTTCCGTTTGCAGTTTTAGTCTTTCAAAACCACCGGCAGCGCGCGCTACAACTTGAATATTCTCAGCTCCAATCCGAAAGCTCCCGAGGCTCCACGCTTGCCGCCTCATAAACAAACAGTTAGAAAAACTCTCTGCGTTCCGCGTGTGTGAGTGTTAGTGTGTGTGAGTGCTTGCGTTTTGTTGCTGCCCTCATTGTGCTCTGGTGCAAATGAAATTTTCATTGAGCAGAAAATCACAACAGCGGAAAAGTGGAAAAGCCTAAAGCGGCAGCGACCACAGCAGAAGAAGAAAACAAATTAAAGATATCCTCAAGTGAAATTTCCGAGTGTTTAAAAATTTAAAATATCAAATCCAATCGAATTTGAAAATAGACGAAGCCGTAACCGATCGCTGGAGCATTGCCAAAAAGTAAATTTTATTAACATCGTAAACAAATATTATTGCTTAAATACATATTTATAGTAAATAAAAATGTGTACGAATTTGTGGAAGAAATTTCCCTGGTCCACAGTGGCTGTGTGGCTGGCCAGAACTTTCCTCCCAGTTGAGAACCGGAAAATAGTTGTACCTTTTTTTTGTACATGAGTCTGCTGGTTGGCTGGCCAGACGAGTGGATAGATCTCAAGCCGGTCAAGCGTCCAGGAGAAGCGTGCCTGTCGCAGCCACCGCCACCTGCTGTATTGTATCCCAGTCCCCGTGCCCGTCCCCGTCCCCGTCCCCCTCTCAGTGGCAGGTTCCATCCCAACCCCAGGCCTAAGCCTTAGCTACCAGCAGAAACCAACCAACTGGCGGTGTGTGCGTGTTTGAGCGTTGGAATTCTATGCAGTGGTTGCTGCCTCGTTTATTATTAACGTTTTTATTTTCTGTGTTTATACGATATTTACAACTTCATACATACTTGCTATGTATGTATGTACATACATAATCGTACATACTTTTATGTGGTACTTTTATTGGCAGGGAGAAATGGTGTGTGCGGCTTTGGCTGCTGTTGCCGCTTCTGGCCACGCATTCAACGGAACGTAACGAAACGCAACTGCGCTTCACGCTTCCACTCCCCAGGGCTGGGCATGGGGCAGACAGAACATGCTTCAATTTATATTGGCATCGGCCAGACGAAGATGCCGTGATGGTCAGCAGCAATCAAATGCAGCAATAGCAATTTTCAAAGTTAATGCAATATAGTGTGGGCAGAGTGGGGCACATCCTTTGATGCAGCTACACACAGCCCGAGACATCATTCAGCACATTTTTTATTGGATGTCTAAACACACTCGCAGACCTAACGATTTTTTCGCCCAAGTATTGTATGTCGACAGCTGTAATTTCTTCATGTTGCGTCTGCTGCGTTTTGTAACCTGGTTTTGTTCGCAGTCATAACATTTTGCGCCGCTTGTGTCTAATCACTGTGCTGTGCCACCAAGAACACAAAACCCAAGCCCGGACAAGATACATTTACGCGATACATTGAGTGCCTGACGTCGCTCGATTCTGACATGTTTGCATATTTTGCTTGCTTTTTGTTGCCTTTTTTGCCTTTGTCTTCTCAATCGATATGTTAACGGGGTGCTGGGGCCTGGGAACGTGTCAATGTTGCAGCTGCAGCGAGATACAGACTCAAATTGAGATATGTACATATGTACGTGTATTTATGTACATAAATATGTACACATGTATACCTTCTGCCGGCATATCTCTGTTAGCTTTTATTCCCCTCTCAGCATGAAGCTGGCTTTGACCTCATCTCTGGTTGGTTCTTTTGTTAGGCCCGACTCGAGCACCCGACATTCCCAAAATCAATTTAAAGATTGAGCTTTTATTTGTCCGTTTATCCGTTTACTTGTTGAAACTCAGCTGGCTGATTGGTTGATTGAGATAAACGTCTTTGTCTTCGCTATAGTAATATATCAAGCGATGAACTTGAAACTAGCAAATGGTTAAGCGGTCATAAATAATGCCAGAATCAAAACATTAACGCTTTGAACATTCGAAAACATCCTGTGCAGGCCAGAAATAGCCCACGAAAAACAAACAAAAAAGACACAATTCGGGTGAAAAACAAACGTACGAGTATCTTCCCCCAATCCAATGTATTCTTCTGACGATTTCGTCAAACAAAGTTTACAAATAAGCAATTTTCGTTGTGTGTTTCGTTTTGTTCTTTCGGGGTTCTTTGAGGCAAAAAGACGACGTGTTTGGCATTAAATGTTATCTGCCGACACGGAGTTATATCTGGCAAACGGAAATGTTCGAGTATTATGCAGAAAAGTAGCAAAAGATTTCTGTTTGAGATACGAGCATTTTGGCCAGGTTCTTTGCAAGTCGAGGAGTGCCAGGAGTGTCCAATTTGATGTGCATTTCGAGCCATTGAAATGAATTATTTTTGAAGCCAATAATGATAAATGATTTTGCCCTTGAGTGGCTTTATTGAAATGCCAAAGCAATATGGAAGAACTTTCAATACCTAATTACACGTTAGAATTTTGAATCTCATAATAAATAAATATGCACATTTCAAAGACAAGACCACATACGAGAATAACATAGTTTTGATCGTTTATAATTAACTTGAAATATCTCTAGACGAACTTGTGTCACATTTCATTGAACTCTAACACCGTGCCCACAGCTGGCAGTGACTGCGTACAAAGGCTGTCTGCCTGCGAGTATTGGAGCTATAAAGCTGCTGTTGTAAACAAAATTACGTATACATATGGCCCTACAAACGGATGATATGTTTTATACAATATATGCATGGCTAGTTGTACCGATAGAGGGGGAGCGTTGTGCCCTGATTGTTTCCCAGAATCGCTGTTGTTCGACGAGGCAATCATACATAAGTTATCAACGGGTAGATAGGCTGCCATGGAGTTCAGCTCTTCGTCCGTGCGCGTGCAATTTTTGCGTGTGGCTCTCGTGATTTAACTCCTCCACCTGCCATGTCCTGTGGCATGCGCCCAAAAATTCCCATGGGTTGATTCATCATCACAAGTTTGGTTATTTATAAATATTAATGTATGGACACGCAGGCACAGGGAAATATTTATTTGTTCTCTATACGAATGTCTTGCACAATGCTTTCCTCCTATTAAAGCCCACAGAAAATGTCGCATTGCCAAATGTTGGTCGATGCGTTGGACTCAATGACAAATTCCATCTATTTATAGACGTCAAAAGTTGTATGCCACTTGCGTACATCATTCACGGAGAATTCTCACAGTCTCCATTATGCAAGCGCCCGGCAAAGAAAGCAAAGAACGACACAAACATTGCGTAAACAATAAATTAGCCAGCAAATAGTGTACAATGCCTGGAAAAACAGCTTGATTCATGGTATTTTATTTGATTTTCTCCGCCCCAAAAAGCACGGCCAGTAGGCCGCAGAGACTTTCCGTACCAAGAACTCTCAGCTGGAGTTCTGGGCAAAGCAAACATTTACCGAAGGTAATTTAGGATAAGCTTTTGTTGAACAACTCAATAGGAAGAGTCCATAGCCGTATAATTTTTGCCATGACAACTCGGTTTTTGGCAGCTGCCCAGTAAGCATTTTGAATATGCCCAACTCTCGGCCCTGGCTCTGGCAGGTCAACAACCGCTTTCTGGCTACTTGGCTACTTGGCTACTTGGCGGCTGCCTACCTACTGGCCCCTCGGCCCGGCTACTTGACTTCTTCGCATCTCCGTGGTTATCGTAGGTGTTTTCTCCTGTAATTATTTATCCATAACGCTGACTCTTAAAGCATTTTATGTGGTGGCTTTTTTGTTGCCCGATTCTAGCCCCGTTTCGGATTCGCAGCGCAAAAAAAACCTAAAAGTTGGCCAACCAAAATGAATAAGCAATAAGACAAATTAACTTTTGAATATTAAAAGAGCCAAACCGCCCGCAAAAGACTCTTTTTCGACGTACTCCCTGCACCAACATGAGTCAGCCCGCCAGAAATGGAGGTGATGGCGCAGCTGGGAACCCGAGAACCTGCAAGGTTTTGGTTTTTGCTCATTGTAAATATAATTACTGAACGGTTTCTGGATCAGCTTTTTTTTGTACAAACATTTGTGATATATTTATTTATGTAGCTTATTTGAGAGACTCCCTTGCCAGTTCTTTTTCCAAAGAAATTTAACGACCGATCAATGTCCGAAATGGTCTTCAGGCTGATCAAGTGACAGGGTATACAATCAATCCTAACCAATCAATCACTAGCTGCCTGTGTGCAAAGTATAAAGAAAGAACCACAAAGGAAATGTGTCTGAATCCAATTCGAGATTGCAGGAATAACAGCGTCAGCTGTGGGTTATCAGTGGCACCCATGTAATGCCACGATTTATTCAAATGAAGCTGTAACTATTTATTTATTTAGTTATTATTTAAAGCTTATTGTCTGGCTGATAAGCCGGCAGTTGAATAGCGCGATTGATGAGCAGCAAACCCAGGCTTATGTCATCAAACTGAGCCCAAGTTTAGCTTCTCCACAATATCAGTTGGAGCCAGGCCTGAAAGTTGTTAAATTTTCCGTCTACACAAAATATTTCTGAACTGGATTTTCGGCTCCCACTTTTCTCATATCTTTTTGGAAGTTTTAGAGGCTCATGGAGCATTTGCATAAACAATCGCTGGCTCTTTGTTGGCTCTTTTATTTTGTAGGCTTTTTAGCATAAAAGCGTCACATTTCACTTTTCACTTTTCCCCCCATGTGCATAGCTCGGCTTGAATGAATCTTTTAGAGTTCCGCAAAAGCCGATTCACAGATATAATCAGCATCGACCGTTTCTACCTATAAGTAGGTTAGTGCCATGCTTAGTCTGGGTGCGACTCAATGAACTGGATTCTGTTGCCCTTTTTTATATTTATTTATCCACATTTTTCTCTTTCATTCTTCTTAAGAATTCCTATTAATGCAAATTAGGCAATTTTGTGGTAGAAACGTGTCAACAAAAAACTAAAACAGTCTGCATTACGCAGTGTCAGAAATGATTTGTAAATCATTCAAAATTCCCTGTGAACGCTGCCTCCCAATAGAGTGTTTTGAAACTGTTTTGAATGCGTATTTAATATTTAATTACCTTGAAATTAGCATGCAATTTGTGCACTCTGCGTTTGGCGCCTGCCCAAAAAAGGAATATCCATTTGGGGAGCGATCAAAGTGGCAAACTCTTAAAAGGTCTTTCCGAAACGACGGCACGTGCGATTTGTATTTATTTATGTATTTTTATGTAGGGTGAATTTTGTGGCTTTCCATTTGGATTGTTTTGTTTCAAATTTGACCCGGTTCTAATTATAGTTTTATTCATCAAATTAACGATATTTAATTGCACTTTTTCTGCATAGTATCTGGTTAGAAATATCCATTGGACAGCTGAGCCGGTTCACTGGTTCAATGCTGCGCTACGAATTTGCTCACTAAATTTTTAATATCGAAATTTCAGTTGCACGTACGCTATGTTCTGTGAAAACTCTGTCCCAATTTACATTTTTAATTTGGTAATACTAGCAGTGCATCTATCTACCATCACTCATGGGTTTTATTCCAATCGAATCGATTCCGATTCCGACTCCGAATTGCAGTGGCATGCCACAGACATGGCTGATGGTTCTATTTCTGCTCAGTGGCTCCCATTTCCTTTCACATACAAAGAAATAGAAAGGTAAATAATTACATAACGCAGGTTGTCGGGCAGCCCAGTCCCCCGTGTTGGGTTCCCGGCCACATGTGGGAAATATTCCCCACCGATTCCGGAAGTTTCTGCAACGCTCTGACGTGGTTGGGCCCAAGTCTGATACAATTTTATTCGCAGCTACCTGGCACACACTTTGTTGTTGTTGTTGTTGTTGCTGTCCGCTGAACATGCAACATGTTGCATGTTATGGCCGCATTGTTGGAGGCATTTCAACATCATAATATTTATGCAAAGCCCCAGCGTCAGATGTGGCAAGCACAAAATAATAATAAAGGTACTCGTATAATTTACCTTCATATTACGCCCACCACAGCCTTCACCACATCCCATCCGCAATATCTCGTCGCAGATTTAATCTTCGGTCAAATAGTTATTTCTCAGAGTTTGGGAAAAATCTGTGGAATTTCCTTAGATAACTGAGGATCCCACAATTATCGTAACGTTGCCGCGCTCCAAGTCGTTTCAGAGCTAAGCGTTGTGAAACCTTTTTTATTATATTTATCTTTAGGTAAAGACTTCTCCATTAGAAATTCGTTCAGAGTGTTTTTTTCAATACATTTAAATGGAACTCCTAAGTGAAATCTAACGTTACATTCCAGAGCTATGCAATCCGCTTCGATTCTTACTCCACTTCGCCTTCCAGTTTGCCGCTTGACAGGCGAGTGACAAGTTAAACATTCGTTTGATAATTGTTCATGACTTCTAGGGTTTATGCAAGAACCGTATCAGATTTCGCATGGGACGGTAAATTACACTGTTTTTGTATGCGGGAAACTCTCATATGATTCGTACGTTTTTTTAATTGAATTAAAACAGTTCAAAATGTTCGCGGAGTGCCCAGAAGTCAAATGTTCGAAATCAAAGTACCATACATTTCACGTTAATTTAATTAACTTATGTGTATATGAGAGCGAGGGTGAAATAGGACAAAGCCACGTGACATGTGAGCAATTATTCCTATTCGCATGTCATCACAATTCCTGGGCATACATGGATAAATTACACAAAATGTACGAACATTTTCGTATAAAGTTGAATGGAATGCATGAATCAGACCCGAGCCAAAGAGTAGGCAGTTAGGTGATGGTGACTCATAGATGTAGGAATTCGAGAAAGCCTTTAGGCCCAGCCACCGGGGTCTCAGCCGTCTTCGCACCACATCTACATACATCTCAGGTGGCAGAGTCCGAGTCCGCTTGTGAAAGAGAAATGGGTGTGACGCATGCGCAAGGCTGAACTCTGATGGTAGCTGGGCCCGCACAGATGCAGACTATTAAGTTTGTTTCAATTTGAAGCAATCAGCCAGCCATTGACATATGTTTTCTTCAATTACAGGCAAAGGCGATTAATTAACGTTCAATAAACGACGCTTGTGTCCGTAAATCAATAGGAAAATGCAGTGCGGCCTGGAGATGAATGACTGCGAGCGATCCCCCAATCGCACGAATTTACGCGTCAACTTCAATGAGAAGGGTGCGGAGGTGAAGGAGCGCAGGGAGAAATTCCTCACTGCCAAATATGGATCACATCAAATGAGTCTCATCCGCAAGCGCCTCGCTGTGGAGATGTGGCTCTACGATGAGTTGCAGAAGCTCTTCGATCCACCGGTAAGCATTTAAAGCACGATTTCGTTAATTCTGTGACTAAAATATAAATACTTCCGACCCTCCCAGAGCGAAGCCATTGATGTGGACATTGACGAGATATTGGACATGGACACAGACGACATAAGGAGATCTCATCTAATAGTGAGTAGCTGCCCCGTCCACCCATTTCTCATCCGATGCTTATGTATTTGGTGATGGTCTTTCATTCACAGAGATTATTATCAGTTTGCAAGCGCCCGCAATCGGACATATCCAAGTTCATCAGCGACCTGCTGGATCGCGCAAAGACGCTGTAAATCTGCAGACCCCCAAGATCATTCAGCGCAGAACTACACACGTAAAATATGCAGATAAACAATAAATAATTAGGAACCTAAGTTTAGCCTGAAAATCAAAGAACATGGAATTCAGTTAGAAATCTTTAATTTTACCCATTCGCAACTTGTCTCGATGTTTTTTCAGTGTACCTTAGTTGATAGACTCGAAGTTGTGTCTAATTTAAGTCACCGCTAAACAGATCGTTAGCCCTTACGAACGATTCATCGATTTTGTGATGAAAACATATTTTATAATAATAAAATGGCCTGAAAGCAAACACGAATGTGTTAAGAAAAGAAGCAGAGAAGAAAGAGAGATTGGAGCTCACCGTTACTCTGGTTGTTTAACCCATGGGTGCTCCTTTTAATCGATAAAAGTACCATTACATCATGTATCTATTAAATATTAAATACAAACAAAAAAATAAAAAAAAGAATTGTGTGTAGTCGAGATGTCACCAAGACAAAGATGAAAGCTCAGGTTCACTGCCAAAACGTGGAGCAGGGGAAAGCTCACGTGCTGAGTCGTGTAGCAAGTACAAACAGTAGTTGGGTGCAGAAACACAGTAAAGCCTGGCAACAAGGAATTTGAATCACACCGTTTTCGTTTTGTTTTCTGGAGTTCTACAATGGTTGTTTTTATAACTTTACTAGCACCGATTTGGGCTCTCGAGACACACTCTTAAACAAAATGACACAAAACAATTTCCATAATTGTAAATAAAAATGGAAGGAACAGCCACAATCACAGCATAAACCATAGACTCGAATGCATAAACATATACAAAATACCCAACAATTTGTAAATACCCTTGAAAAACATGGACTTGGCACTTCTTTGCTCCACGAGTACACCTACATACATAAATATTTGTAGTAGTTTCTAGTAGATCCCCGTCAATCAAAAACTAACGTAAACGTATTTTAAATGTGCTCAATAAGGCAAATGGGGGAAATGGGGTATAGTGCATAATAACTAACAATTTTAAAGCAAAAATCATGTCAACAAAGTGTGGCTGGTTATCAACACACAGAATATGCCACTGCTTCTCTCTATCAGTTCGAAAAAGTATTAGAACCTTTTCTTGAAAATGCTACTTGCATACTATTATAACACTTAATCATCGCACCTTAGCATTAAACAATTCGAGCATAAACTTAATCACGCACCTACTTATACTAATTCTCATTTAAAGCACATCCATAATCTCGAGCGAGCACACGCTATAGGACTTATAAGACACTCTATGAGGAGAGCTAAAGGAACATATTTATAAAACGCAAATGAAAAGTTTACAATAAAAATTTGATTGCTTTAGAAAAACAATTTTGGTTTTTTTTATTCCAGAATAAATGTTTATAATTATTTTAAGGTGTCCAACGGCCGCTTTTCAGATTACAGTTTCTGCCTCAGCCTATCAATTCTATCGTTGAGTTTTGTTGGAAAGCAATTTCCAGAACGTTGCCAGTCCGCGGGAAGCCAACACCATTTAAAATTTATTCTTAAAAAAAAATAATAATTATATCGGAAACATAAATAAACGCAAGCCTTTATTTTGATGACATTACTGTCCAGTAGCTTTTTTTGCCTACTTTATTGCAAAACTTTGCACTTTAACAGATAATATATTTAAACAGGCACAAACCAGTGTAACAGCAAGGCAAGAGTTATTGTTTTCCGCGTATTCACTCTCTAAATACTCCGGAGTTTAGTGGGCTAAGTTCCTTTTTCTCGTAGGTATTTTTCGGTATATTTCAAAGATTCTGGCGGTATTTGCAGCTTACATAAATATGTAGTAGTTCATGTAGTTTATATGTAGCAAATTCGTAGTAACCGTGTAAGAACTGAGTTTTGTTTATTGTTTGATGGAACCTTCTTTAATGAAATCGTATTTTAAGAATAATCAAATGAAATACAGTTCTTAAAATATTTAAATCTGTTAGGAAATTGATTAATTTATCGTAAAAAATCATATTTACAGTGTTGAGGGCTCCGGTTAACAATTAATTGTAAGCGGAATATCAAAATCGAGGAATATCAACGCAACCAGGGAAGGCAGTGCTGTGCTGCCAGCTGCTCTCGCTGAACATAGACCGAAACATAAAATTTCAAATGGGATTGAAAGATTACTACACCTGGACATATCCAAACATACCGGAGCATGTGGCGTAAGAGGAACTGCACATTCCCAGTAATCACTGAAAACATTCGCTTATATTTATTTTAGCCAAGATCTGGACAAGCTCGGCCGGTCGCTCGTGGTCGTTGGAATTATCGGCCGATCACGATGCGGGCTGGCAAACAAACTGCGAGCCTTTCGGATGGAACCTCCTGGAGACCATAAACCTGCCGACGGGCAGTTTCAGTGCTACTATAAGCCAGGCACCTCCGCTTTGCTGCTGCACTTCGAAACGACCTTCGACGATGCGATATTGGGCCAGCAGATAGATGAATCCATGGAACAGGACGGGGCCTCGTTTGACTTTGATGACTTCTACGAGCGGATGAAGTGCCGATTCTTGCGTATGATGCTACTGGCGCTACACGTCTGCCACATTGTAGTCTACATAGAGACGGGTCAGACCTTTGACCTCTCTCTGGTGACCATTTTGCAGCTCATGAAGTTCGCCAGAGAACAGCATTTGATGCAGTTTCTGCCCAGTCTGTTGAAGGAGACCCCTGCTGGGGCACTGCTTGGCGAGAAGTGCCGCCTGTGCACCCCAAGGATTCTGTTCCTGTTCGAGAACTTTCCCCAAGACGATGCCACGACCAAGGAGTGCGTGTCCGCCTGCGAGTTCCAAACGGAGGACAGCATCTACGAGTTTCTGCGCCACAATCAGATAATCACCAACAGCAGTTCAAGCGCTCTGCTGGCTCTGCCCAACAATAAGCAATTTGTCTTCTACAATGCCCACGAACAGCTCGATGCGGACAGGCTACTGCAGTCCATTGCATTGCTAAACTTGGAGATGCACAAGGTGGATGTCAAGGAAGAGGATGATGATCTGGAAGTGCTTGAGCTGGCACCCTTCGAGGGCTTTGTCAAGACTTATGGAGAGTCCTTCGAGAAGATAGATTACGAGGAGCAGCAGTACAAGGCAGAGCACACTGCCTGGAACTTTCTGCAGCGGCACATCCAAGACGCGCTGCTTGGCTGCTTCGACGAGGGTTCCTTCAAGCAGGTGCCCCAAAAAGGACAGCTGCAGTTGCTCAGCGCGCACGAGTGGCACGATTGCATGGTGGAGTTGCACAAGTTGCTGGTGCCAAAACAGGAATGCCACAACGAGATCCGCAACGAGGATTATGTGAGTTACAAAACTGAAAAGTGGATACGAAATTTATAATTATTCAATCTTTACAGCGCCTCTTTCTGCAGACCTTCGATGAGAGCCTCAACTATGAGAAGAAGTGAGTGGAAGCATTCGAGATTTTCTGCTTTAACTCTACTACTTTACAGATTCTGGACGCACCTGTGCGAGATTGGCCTCAAGCATGGCATTGCCGCATACAAAAAGGCTGCGCCAGCCATTTACGGCAGCTCAATGCACCAGCAACTGCTTGCCGATGCCATCATCGTCTTTGAGGAGGGGGGACGCGGCCCACCAGCTGAGGCAGCCATAGCCAAAATGTCGGAAATTTGTCTCAGGCACTGGCAGGACGGCAGGCAGCAGTGTGAGCAGCTCAGCCTGCGATCGCAGCCGTGCACACAGCCCAGGGATATGCCACATGACAAGCACAGCAGTGGCGTGATTCACGTTTCCAGCTGCAATTGCGGCAGGACACAGGGCAGGCGGGAGGATCCGTTCAGCCTGCAGCAGGCCAACTACGAGTTCTACGAGCACATGGCCAAAATGTGCAATCTTTGCGGGAAGGTGAAGCAGTTCAAGTTTCCCATCTTCGAACCGTCCAACAATGACTATCGGGCAGCGGCATTTGAGGTTGCATTTCCCCTGCTGCATGCCGAGAGGAAGAATGCAGAACTGGAGCCGGAGGAAGAGGATGAAGAGCTGCCCTCAGGAGATGAAGAGGAGCAGCAGCATATCACAGAGAGCAATGGCTGCTCTCAGCCATTGTCCCCGACCTTTGGTTCGGATTTGAACATGTCCATAGCTGGCTTTGGCGTCTCGCTGAACGAATCAGAGCCGTGCTTCGAGCAGGAAGCGGACTCCACCTCTGAAGCGGAATCCAGCAGCAGCGCCACCTCCAGCGTTGAGTCGAACAACGAGCTGGTGCTGCAGCTGAAGGAGCCCGCCAAGAAGCAAGAGGAACCCAGCGAGGAGTCCACCTCGACCCCCTCTTTGACCTCCACCACGGAATATCTGCCTGGACTGGTGCACACCTTGAGTAAAGTTGGACTTCTGCCGCTGTTTCCCAGCTGGTCGCTGGCCTGTGTCGGTCCCAGTTCTATTTACAGCCACAACACGGGCCTGCAGGAGCACTTCCAGAGCGGATTTCTCTCCGGCGCCAACTTCCTGCTGCCGTGGGACGTCCAACTCAGGCTCGTCCATGCACCCAAGCACTATCACAATTCCCATCAGCCACACATGAGCAAGAGGCAGCAAAGATATCGCAAACACGGCGACCGCATGGTGCTGAAGATCTTCGTGGGCTTCGAGTACGAGTGCTCGCGCGGCCACCGCTTTATGATGTGCCGACCGGATCGTGTGCTGCGCGGCGGTGCTGACATCGAGCGGGATACCTGCTGCAAGATGGTGCACACCAACATGCCCCTGTACTATCCCTGTCCCTGCCGTTCCCAAAAGAATTATCTCGCCCAGCTAATGCGGATCCATGTGGTCACGCCCAAGGCGCCGGTCAACATCATTGTGGATCCCAAAGTGTGCATGGGCAAGGACAAGTACACGTTTACGTTGGGCAGCCTGGTGCCACCGCGATTATCGCAGAGCGCCTACTGGATTCTGCGTCTTCCTTATGTCTACCAAGGCGACGATGCGCTGATTGCACCGCCGGAGAAACTGGAACCGGAGGAGATGATGGCTGGCGGCTATCTGCTGGCGGGCATGTTTGGCATTGCCGAAACGGATCCAACGCTGGACTTGAACGATCAGGGATCAGCCAGTGGGCTGGGAACTTTTACGAGAATTTAAAGAGAATAAAATGCAATTTTCACGCTTTGTGTTTTTCAGTAACGATTAATGTAATCTCTTCAGGGATTGTGCTCCAAGGCGACTTTACAATGTATATTCTAAGTGTAATGTTTATAGGGAATTATGCAGCGTGGAATTGTTGAGGCTTGCAGCTCAACGTGGGGAATAGATCGGGGCTTAATGTCTAACAAAATAGATAATTAAATGTAATACCTTTACAAGATAAAGAGACGCCCAAGAGACTGTGCTAGACTCTGGGTTAAATGTAATTCTTAGATGATATGAAAAGTGGTAATGCTACCACTGCTACGGTTGATGGATACAGAGCCGATAGTTTCTGTAGGTAAATTCCAATAAATAACGATTCCAATGATGAGCAAAATGTGATAAGGCGTGAAATGCAAACGGGTCGAGCATCCTCCCAAATGTTTAGCAGAAGTCGGGCAACCGTTTCGCATTCCTTTTAAATGTATGCGGTAAAATGTTCCTTAAGCTCCTTAAATTTAGACAATTTCCTCGGTGCAGATCTCCTCCTCATTGGCGACATAATCGCCGCACACCTCCTCCTGGCAGCCCACGTCCATGTCGGCAAATTCCTCGTAATACATATCCGAGTCCATAGCAGTCTCCTGCTCGGAGGCGGAAACACTGGGCACTGGGCAATCATCGGCCTCTGGCAGGGACTCCTCTGGCTCGTCCTCCTCTTCGGGATCTTCCTCCTCCTCGGGCTCCTCCTCATCCTCCCCGGTGGAGTCCATGGCTGGCAGCTGCTGCTGCTGTTGGTTCATCTGCTGCAGCATCGACTGCACACGCTGCATGTACGCCTGCTGCTGCAGCTGGCTGCACTTGCCATCCAATGGAGTTGGTGTTGATGGCATCGCCGTGTGCTTGATGTTGTCCAACAGCGCCGCATGCTGGCTGGTCACGTGCAATGCCAGAGCGGTGGCATCGGCGTGCAAAGAGCCGCACACAATGCACACCAAAGTCTCGTGCCGCTGCTGCATGGGCATCGGGGCAGTGGCCACCCCTTGGACTGTATCTGCAGCTCGATTGTGGCTCTGAATGTGCTTATTCAGATATGCCTGCTGGCTGTAAGACTTGCCACAGATGTGGCAGGGAAAGGGCTTCTCGCCAGCATGGATCTTCATGTGAACACTGAGGCTGGAGGCCTGCGTGAAGCATTTGTCGCACAACTTGCACTGGAACGGCTTCTCGCCGGTGTGAATGCGCATGTGAATGTTGAGGCTGCCCGACTGCGTGAAGGAGCGATCGCAGAGGGAGCAGGTGAACGGCTTCTCGCCCATGTGGTTCTTCATATGCTGCACCAGCTCGGAGCTGACGCGGAAAGCCTCGCGGCAAATGGCGCACTGGTAGACAAGCTCCTGGGTGTGCATTCGCATGTGTTCGTCGAGCAACGCCTCCGCCTTGAACTCCCGCTCGCACTCCGGACAGGCAAACGTCTCCGTTGGCGCCGTGTGCGTCTTCTGGTGCAGCAGCAGCGAGGTGTAGTTCACGAATCCCTTGTCGCACTGCACGCACTGGTGCGGCTTGCGCACCGCATGGGATCGCATGTGAACCATCAGACTGCTGGACTGGGTGAATGCCTTGGGGCAGAGCTCACACTTGTACGGCTTCTCGCCGCTGTGGATCCTTATGTGGGTGTTGAGGCTGCCAATGTGGGTGAAGGTCTTTTGGCAAATGGAGCATTGGAAGGGCTTGTTGGTGATGTGGGAGCGCACGTGCTTGGAGAGATCACCGGCATTGGGGAAGCTCGCCTCGCAGTGCGAGCACTGGAAGCATTTCTGTGCCGCTGGATTCGCGGCCATGGCAGACTCGAGCATCGGGTTGTTCGCCTTGCTGCGACGACCACGGCGGCGTTTGATGGGAGCAGGCTCCATGGAGATGCTCATGGGTGGAGGCGGCTGGGCAGGGAGAAGCAGCTGCTGTGGCGGATGGGGGAGGCTCACGGGTGTACTGAGCGGAGTTATGCTCATCGATGGTTGCAGCAGAATAATCGACGTGGACTCCCGAGAGTCTGCCATTTGCAGATGGAATTCATTTGGATGCGGTCCGGCAAGTAAACATCTCATGGGATGCGCGGAACCCAACTCGACGTAGGAGGCTCCATTGCTTAAGGAGTCCATGGGCTCCTGGTTCTGACTCTGACTCTGCTGTGTGTTGGAGTTGCTGGTGGAACTGGGCATGGAGCTGGACGAGCTGGAGGAGTTGCTGGAGCTGGAACTGGAGCTGCTGTCATCATCATCGGTGCTGTCATCATCGTCGCTGTCGTCGTCATCGTCCGAGGAGTCGCTGTCCCCACTGGCAGCTTCCTGTGACTGCTGCTGCTGCTGCTGCTGCTGCTGCTCCTGTTCCTCCAGCTCGCAGACTGGCTCGAATATCCAACTGTAGTCCTCGCCCTCCTCCGCCTGCTGCTCCTGGCACTCACCCAGCTGCTGTTCTTGTGCAGGCTCATTCGGATGCCGGCTGTTCATGTGCTGGTACAGGGCCAACGGATGCACAAAGTACTCCGAGCAGCACATGCAGTGAAACGTTAGATCGGGCGCCTCCGGCTTCGGTGGCATTGGAGCCGGCTTCAGCACTGGCTGGCACAGGATCGGCGTGATGGTCAGTGGCAGATGATGGTAATTATGCTTCAGCTGCACGGCCATCTTGACGTGTCGTGTGTCGTAGTTGTATGTAAAGGCTAAAACATAACAAAGACAGCAACAACAACATTAACATAAGCAACAACAACAACCACAACAATTACAACGAGTTGCAGAGAGGCAGCCTCTGCCTCTCTAAGCGTTCGATGAAAAATCAATGCTCTCTCGTACCTTATGTGAGTGTTTAATGTTTATTTTCCAGTTTCAACGATTAGCAAACAATTACACACATATGCATGCATGTACATACATATGTAATGCTGTACATATATGTAATTATATCACTATGGTACTTTTCAGGTTTCGGGTCTTGCGTGCTGCTTGCTTTTAGTATTACTAACATGTTTCAACTTTTCAGCTTTTGCGCGTTCAGTTCAGCTACCAAATGGTAGCCTGTGTTTGTTCTTGTATTTTGAATTCTTGTGTTTCAACATTCATCGCGTCTTTGCGTTTGCGTTTATCGGCCAATTGGCGTCCCGGTGTGCACAAGCAGACGCTGCCCCTTGGCAGCGCTTAAGATATATTTTTATCCGATTGATGAATCAATTATTTTTCACTTAAGGACTCCGCTTACAAAATAAAACAAAAAAGGTCAACAAAAATGTCTATTTTTACATGGTAAGTAACTATACACATTTGCTACACATCAAATACATAGTTGTGTAAAAACGTAAGTGGGCATCATATTAAACGTAAGGGTGTGCGGAATGTTACGTTGTTAGCAGCAGTGAATTATAATTTCTTGCACGTTCCCGTTAGATAGATTTGATTTGTATAAATTTCATCAATTTCATAATTAACAACATTTTGAATGATTTCTGTCCATTAACAGAGAACAATTAAACCATTGTAACCGATAAAGAAATTGAAAAACTATTGACAAGTTTCTGATAAAAGATATGTGGAGTCATTTATTTTTGTTAGTAAAGAGGATGGATTTAGGTAAAAGGAGAAATAATAAACAGTATTCTTTTCCGCGTTTAAGCTCTTGTTCAACTGTTTAAAAAGAGGGGGTTAAGGCTTCGCTCGTTGTTTTTTTGGTATATTTACGGTATATTTTACATAATATTTCTGAGCGTCAGTAGGTATAATTGATTTATAAGGCCGCTGTCACACCAGTTGCCCGGCATTTTATCAGCGTGTAATAAAAAATAACAATAAATACAAACGACCATGGACGACAGCCTATTCCAAATGAGTCGTAGTGGATTGCTGCGAACGAGTGTAAATAGCTCTAGTTTGCAACCGACTCTTTCCCGATCGCTGCGTAACGTAAACAATGTGTCCGCATTGAGTGAAACACTGATAGATCCCGATGACTCGAACCGGGGCAGGAGCCATGTGGATGTCCTGTTTCCACAATTCTTTGACATTCTGCAAGCTCACAACAACGAGTCGGAGACCTTCGAGGTTTTGCTCAGCTTGTCCATGGCGTGCAGGAAGGTCGTAGAAGAACTGCAGCTGGAAATAGAGCGCGGTATGGGAGGAGAACAGGGCGCAGCGCACAGACGGGCCAGCATCAGTTGGCTTAAGCAGGAGATCGACACTTGGCGCCTGCTCCACGGCATCTACTTTGATCGAATATTGCTACAGACGGACAACCAAGCCGACTTTGAAATGCAGGAAGGTCCCGCTCTTGGAGGCAGTGAGAAAATGGTCATCTCTCAGCTGTATACCATAAATTCCACCCTGAGGGAGTACCAGTTGGTTGTCGACTGGCTGGAGGCCTGCTACGACCGCACGGATGCAGAGAATTTGCTACACTGCCACGACCGTATGATGGCCTGGGAGAACACACTCTTCCAGCTGGAGAATCTCCAAGGAGCTGCCTTTGGGAAGAAGCACGAAATAGTCAAGAGCTTGGATCCCGATGCTCCAGTGAGGGAGAAGCTCTCACTGCACGCTCTCGACGAGGAGGACAACATGAGACTGGGCCGCGCTATTTTCGGTGCCATCAGGCGAGGACGTATCGATGATGCTCTGAAGTTGTGCAAACACTACGGCCAGACGTGGAAAGCTGCCATTCTGGAAGGGTGGCGCTTACATGAGGATCCCAACTATGAGATGAGTGGATCGCTGGTCAGCGAGAAGCTACCCATTGAGGGCAATCCTCGTCGCGATGTGTGGAAGAGGTGTGCCTGGAGTGTGGCCGATTCCAAGAGCTACGACGAGTTCACACGCGCCACAGCTGGGGTCTTTGCGGGACATTTGAGTTCGTTGAAGGCGCTGCTGCACAACAATTGGCATGATCTGTTGTGGGCCCACATCAAGGTGCAAATTGACATTCGTGTGGAGTCGGAGATACGGGAATGCTGCACAAAACGTTATCAGGACATGCCCGAGGACTATTGGAACGGAAAAATGACACTGGAGCAAATATTCGACGAACTGAGTGTGGCCAAAGATGTGTCTGTGAAAGACTTTGCCAAGGGCCAGCTGGGCATCATACAGCGTCATCTCATTCTTGACACTTGTGGCGAACTGCTCCAGCACATGGTGCGCTGGCTGGAGACGGATGCCAGCAAGCTATCGTCTCACCAGCTGCGCTTTATGGCTCACATTGTTCTGTTTCTGCGGCAGATTGGTCGTGTCGAAAACGAAAAGCATGCGGAAAAAATCATTGCCTCTTACGTGGAGTCGTTGCTCGCACGTGGAGATGCCCTGCTTATAGCCTACTATGCTGCAGCTCTGTCCAACCGCCTCCAAGTGAAACTATACTCGCAGTTCCTCGAGAAAGTTGAGCAGAAACGAGCACGGGAGCTGGCCATTGACGCTGCGCTGCAAGCCGGCTTGGACTTGGAGCAGATCACGCGCCTCACTGTGGAAAATATTCGAAACACTCAGCAGCCATTGGGGGAGTTTGGGGCACCGCATGCAGGAGAAATATCAGCTCCGGATCAGTTAAAGATCTCAGCTCTGGAGTGGCTCACCTTTCTGCCAGAACAGAGGAGCGAACTGCTCTGGCAAGCATGTGCCATGATGCGTATTTACTTGGCATCGAACAAGATCGAGTGCATGCGCAAAACATTCCTGATGGTGCCCAGCGATGTGGTCACCAGTCTGGCTGGCACCTTCGGCTCCTTGGACAGTCTGCCGCCGCGCGAAGAGTGCAGCTTGAAGGAATATCTTTGCTACAAAGTGTACCTTGCGGGCATTGACAGCTTCATCGAGTGGAATCGCCGAAGCCAAAATCCTCCACAAAAGCCGACTTCGATCGCTGCAATTACCAGCCAGGATAACTTTACGGAGCGCCTGGTGAGCGAGCAAAAGCAGCTAAACTATCGCAATGAGCTGGTGAGATGGCAGCAGAAGGTCAAGGAGCAAGCAAAGCGTAAGCGAAATAATTAATTCAAAACCAATTGTTTGATTTATCTTCTCCCCTTTCGACAGAGACCACGGAAGCTTTGTACAATATTTTATTGTTCCCGGAAAAGGGTTGGCTGGTGGATCCCTTTATCTCGAAGGAGCCGGAGAATGCTGCACAGCTCAATTGGGAGCACAGACTGTTGCAGATGGAAAAGCTGCGCTCCCTTTGCCTGCCTGAGGTCACCATGCTCCTTCACGAAGTTATGTCCAAGTCCGGAGACCTTGTGGGCTGTGTGCGCCTGGCGGATGAAATATCCAGCGAGCATCGGCAGCTGTATAAGGTCTACACCAAGCACAAGATGGCCGAGCTGCTCGCCAAGATAGCCGACTCTTCACTGGAGTTGCTTAACACGAAACAGGATCCCTGGGGCTACCCCTTCACTGCCTAGAAATGTGGATTTCATTTTTGTTGTTTGCGATGTAAATCTAATTTTTAAAGTTTATTTATGGATTTTTGTTGGCTTAAGAATGTATTATTAAGGGGAAGCGTGGGAGACACGTGCTTTGTGTGCTTAGGAGTTTCCTTCTGTGGCCGGCGCATTGTCCTCACATCCGTTGCTGTGCTTCAGCAAATAGGAGGCCAAGAATTGAATGGGATCTGTGGGACGCTCCCGCGCGAGTGCCTGAAGACCGTGGAGTAGAATGGGAGCCACCGTCTGGTCCAGATACTGACGTGTGGGTAGCGAGCTGGGGCTCGGCTTCTTTATAGCTGGCTGCTGAACAGATGATGCTGCTGCTGGCTGCGCTAGTGGCGCTCCGGTTCCCGCCGCGGTGGCCGAGCTATTTTGCGAATTGTTGGTGCAGTTTTGCTCCTTGGCTGCCTCTGCCGTCACTGGGGTAGCGTTTGGCGTGGGCGCTGGGGATATGGGTGCCTCTGATTTGGCTTCCATAACTATATCGATCCTTATTTTAATTACAATTATTTAGCCAGCGTCGCCTGAAGGAATGGGTAGCCTTGGTCAAAATATACTTTCAAAATATGGTCTTACTTTATATAAATTAACCTATCGTAATCAACCCCCCAAATATACCGATGCATAAATATACCATCGGTGTATTTTGAATTCGAAATTGCGATTAATTACGCTATACAAACGTGTATACTTAATATACTGATTCGCTGTGTATAATTAATATGGTTTTATACATTTTATACCGTACACATTCCATTTCGTGCATACTGAACTTTTAAGCCTTGGCCCAGTTTGTTTAAACCTTATTTCCTACAAAATCATACAATAGAGGGTCTTAAAAAGTAGCAACCATTCTCATAAATTGATAAATCTTTTCGATAAAATTATATTTTCAGTCCTGAAAGTACTGGCTGGCCAGGAATATGAAACATAATCTAAAAATCTCGTATTTCAAAACCTGGTATACAAATTTGCTTTTTTTCCGTATATTTAGCAAAAGAGGGGTATATTTGATCAATAAATCTGCGGTCACACAGATAGCAGGCCGAAAAAAGTTACACCGAAAAATAAATTAATGGAAATCCATTTAATCAATTAAATAATGACGGAGCTGCTTATTGACCCAGACATTCGCGTGTGGGTTTTCTTGCCCATTGTGCTGATCACCTTTTTGGTGGGCATAGTGCGCCACTATGTTTCGATTCTGATATCCACCCAAAAGAAGGCCGAAATAACCCAAATTCAGGACAGGTGAGTGGCGAGCAAAGTGCACAGCAAGAAAAAAATCCACATATGTGTTGTTCCCCAGTCAAGCCATGATTCGCGCACGCTTATTGCGGGAAAATGGCAAATATTTGAGTGCCCAGTCATTCTCCATGAGGAAGAATTACTTTAACAGCGAGGAAACGGGCTACTTCAAGACCCAGAAGCGTGCGCCTGTGGCCCAGAACTCATCTGCCATGCTGACTGACATGGTCAAAGGGAACTTCATCAATGTACTGCCAATGGTGGTCATCGGTGGATGGATTAACTGGATGTTCTCGGGTTTCGTGACCACCAAGGTGCCGTTTCCCTTAACCTTGCGCTTCAAGCCAATGCTGCAACGTGGAGTCGAGTTAGCTTCGCTGGATGCTGCCTGGGTTTCATCCGCCTCCTGGTACTTCCTCAACGTATTCGGTCTGCGCTCCATCTACACATTGGTTCTGGGCGAGAACAACCACGCGGATCAGACTCAGGCACAGGCCGATGCAATGACTGGCGCTGCCATGACCATGCCGCAGGACCCCAAGGCAGCCTTCAAAGCGGAATGGGAGGCGCTCGAGATCACAGAGTACCACAATGCACTGAAAAACATCGATGCCGATATGCTGAGCATCGTTGCAGCCTCAGAACAAAGTGAATGAAGGAAGTTGTTTCCCCAATTCCCCAATTTAGATTTCTTAGCAAATGTCTAATATAACAAAGAACATTTTGTTTGATTTTAGTGTAGAGTTTGGTTATAATATATGTACCATTTTATCTATCTACGACTGGGAATTTATTATGTGTATATTGTGTACTTGTGCACCCTGCCCCTCGCTGCTGCATAATTAACATTTAACAAAGAACTCATAAACGTAAATAAAATGTTAATAGTAAGCCTCCTCAGTGGCTTCAGCCTGTGTGGGAGGCTCATCGGCTGCAGCCGAAGGTTCCGCAGCAGCCGTGGCCGAGGCCACGCCCACGGAGATGGAAAGCGACGGTTCCTTCTTGACCTCCGGAGCAGCCTCTGGCTCCGATTCCTGAACGGGCGCAGCGGGCTTGGCTGCCTTCACCGGTCCTTCCCCACGTGCTGTATTCAGAGGCGATGGAGGACGAGCGGTGGGTGGCACCTTAAACTGTTTCTCCGGCTTCTTCAAATCCTTGGGCTTGCCCAACAAGCGGTACTCATTGGGAAGCTCTGCCTCCGCGTAGAGCTTGTCAGTGAAATAGACGCGGCGAATGCGCACATTGGCATGGATCTGCAGCGATACGGTCTCCAGATAGTTGGAGCCATAGGCGCGGCGCGTGAAATCAGCGAGATTGAATTGTATCTGGTTCCAGCCAGGCGACATGCCCATCGGCATGGCTGTGCAGAATGGCTTTATGGAAGTCTTACTCTGGAAATTCGACACACGAAAGCGGCGCATGAAACGTTGATCATCTTGAATCTGCCAGAGAGCCAGAGGAAGTGTCGGGGGGGCTACATGCGGATATTTTATCTGGGAAAACAAACCTTTACTTCGAAGCAAAAATATTTGTGCATATTCTTGATGAGTAGCACCAAAAAGGGCAGCTTGATGCCGAGCTGCTCCTTGCACTCACTGGGGCAGTGGATGAATGTGGTGGACACATTGGAACCCATTATTTCCAGCACCAGAGACTTGATATCCTCATCGTAGATACGCTTTATGTAACCATTTTTGGTCTAACAGGGCGGTTGGACATTAGGTTGAGACACTCAGGAAGGACATACTCACATAGGAAGACCACTTCTCCAGCGGTGAGCTGCCCACGCTGTAGAGCACTGTGAGAAAACCTTTCTGATAAGCCGAACGATACATTTTTGTCAGACGTTTCGTGTTTAGTTTTAGCCTATCAAATGGTTAGAGAGAAGTCCCCAGATGTGACTTTTAACGGATAGTGAACTTGGACATATATTTAATTAAACTAATTATAGAATGGATTGTAGGTAACCCAGTGGGCACGCTCTTGCTCCTTCTCGGTTTTGTGTGAGGTAAACAGAGATTTGTAGACATCGCTGGCCTTGGGATCCTTGGCCACGCTGAAGTCGTTCTTCAATCGCTTCAGTTCGGGATCCTGCATGGCGTTCACGGCACCCAGGCGCTTCTGATTGGTGACTCCCTTGACTTTCGTGCTGGTTGAGGGCTTCGCTTCGTCCACTGTTGTGGACGCACAAGGCTCGTCGGTCTCCGTTTTGATCTCCACTTTCTTTGACTCCTTTTTGTCTTTTTTCGACGACTTCCTCTTGGCCGCCCGCATTTCCATTTTGACTTTCATCAGTTCGAGGTCTTCTTCGTTGCCATTCAGAACGACGATGTCCTCGACACTGTAGGGCGCCTGGCACAAAGGGCAAGTGCTGGCCGAGTTGCCTTTAATTTGTTTCAAGGCCCGCTCGGACACCACACAGCCACAGGTCCACAGAGCAACGAATCGAAACTTTCCTGACATCTCCAGCCCAATCAGCTTGCAGATATACGGAGCATGACGCGTGTCTAGTAGTCCTTCGGTCTTGTCCTCTTCAGTGAATGCGGGGTTGGGGGTCAATTGTAGAGTTTTAATGTCCTTGAGGCTCTTCACATGCACCGACATTTCGGGCATTTTCTCCTTCTCCAGCAGCCGCTCGATGAGGCTCTGCTTGGAGTACAATCTGCCCATTCCGCACATGACTATGGGCTCCTGCAGACGCTGCTGTGTCAGGGTGCAGTGCAGCCAGCGAAACTCTCGCTCAGCGTCTTTGTCTTTCTGCGAAAAACGCAATTAAATTTTGAGCAATTCAATTTGTTGATAATGCTATATGTTGTGGGTTACCTGTTCTGGCTTTTGTTTGACGCGAACCAGCTCATCGCGTCTAGGAATAGTTCCACCGTCGCATCCCATGTTTGCAGTTTTTTTTATTTTTGTTTTCTTTTATTTTTCTGTAAGTGTGTTGGGCTCCCTTGTGATTATCGAAATTATCGATAAAATATACAGACCCTCGAAAATATACCAAATATACTTAAAAAATACACCGAGCATGCAAACGTACTTAGCCCCCGCACGCCAAATAAATACCCTGGTGTACCTATTAAAGCGCCAAAAGAATAGTTTGTACTTCAATTTATTGCCAACAGCTATGATTTACAGTTGAAACCTACTTAGTGACCAGCTTCTCCTACATATCCGTGAAGGGGCAATGTTTGGCGTACGGCACATCTATGCAAATGCAGCCGCGGGCGCTGAAAGCATGTGATTTTGTATATTTGTATTTGTATTCAGCAGTTACATCTCCACTTACTCGTCCGGGGCATCGTTGCCTATATGGTACTCCCGCAGAATCGAGACACTCTCGAATGGATTCGCTTTACTGCTGACTGGCAAACGCTTGGGCCCGCTGAGATGCAGACACCCATTGGGGCAGGGAACGCCCGTGAACTTGTTGTGTTTGTAAGTGGCCGAGGCCAGGTAGCAAATGCTCAGGAAATGCGAACAGCGGTATTGTCCTGTGGCAAAGGAATATTTTCGTACCAACAAGACAAACATATTGTAATTTCTTACTGATTGGATTTCCCTTGCAGTACGGTTGAACGCGTCCACCGTTGACGCAGTAGTTGAGATGCCCCGTGTTGTCCTCCTGGCCGAGATATCCGGCATTTGTGTGCAGCACTTGTATGACACTCGCATCATCGCGCGACAAGCGAAATGTGTTGCTCTTCTTACGCTCGATCAGTGGACGAGCCGGATCTAGTCCGATTATGCGATATTGTTTCTTTGTCAAGTGATTGCTGATCATGCCACAGATATGGGCACCCAACGAGTGTCCCACACAGGTAATTTTCTCTCTTACGGCGCCATAATGGGTGAGAAATGCATAGATTTGGGCTGTGCACTGCGCCGTCAGTCTGGTGTTTATCAGAGAGTGAAGGTAACAGGGATATCGCGTCAAGGGCCGCCAGTCAACGGTTATCACGTTGAAGTCACGCGATAAATATGCTGTAAAATGACAAGGAGATAAATCAGAGTGTTCAGTGTCAATGGCCACGATACTAACCATCCCTTAGAAACTGCAGGTGTACATCGATGGCTGTTCCATTGAAGCCGTGAATAATAAAGACCGTTTCCCGATGCTTGCCGAAGCCACCCTGGTAGAGACTCGTTGGAGTTTTTACATTCAAAGCCACTCCTCGTCGTGGCCCATTGCTGTAAGACAGACGGAAGCGAATTGGTTAATCATGCAACTTTGCAGATTGTCACACATCAGCGACTATGATATTGTAGCGAAATTGCAAAGTATGTTGGGAGTTACTCGTAGTGCCAGCTATAAGTGTATCTTATTCTCATAAAATTCATTATTAAGCGGACCACGTACAACATTTCATTAAGATTATCATTATGATAACTAAACAAGATCACAGTAATAGATCAAATTAAACAATTAATATCTTCCCTAAAATCAAGCGTTTGCAATCAACGGTTACTAACACAGCTTAAGCTTTTGTTTTTTTAATCAGTGTTGACTGTTTTGGTTCCGTTTTGGTTCGTTGTGAACTGCGTTCATCAGCCGCGACACTGGCCGCTATGGTTCACTGTGAACTGCGTTGATTCCGTTCAGGTTCACTACTGGAACCAGGTACGCCGAGCGACCAATTGCAATGACAATTGTAACTGTGTCTGCGTACCATGAAATAGAGTAAAAAGTCAATATCCTGTTTGTGTTATACAACCATCACTAATCGACTGAACTTCCTTAAACGGTGCTCATCGTGTAATCTTCCCGAGCATTTAATGCCGCCACGGTTCTCCGAACATGGTGCGCATCTTTCGACTGAGGCTGGTGAGCGGGAGTTGTCTGGGGTAGAGTGGGAACCCAGACGAGTCGAACGACTTTGTCCGTCGTTTGTTTAACAGTTTATTTGTCACTTATTAACTCCAATTGATGCCACCATCGAGCACGTTTAGCGGCCAGTGCAGCGGTGATTCATGCCTTGTATAGCTCGGAGCATCTCTGCTTAGTGGGTCAGCGTCCGGTTTGGCGAAACAAGTTGCTCCAACCCAATAATTGCACTCTTATTTTTTGATATTCGCCAGCCATATCCTTCTTGTCCCACCACTTTGTATTTTTGGGCGTTGACACACTAACCCGAGCGAGCAGATGAAAGCAAGTTGCCTAACACCGGACTTGGCTTTCTCCCGTCCACACAGTACGGGATATCCTCAACACACCCCCTCAACTTACGGCGAAAACAGTCGATGCTCGATATGGGGACTGGGGCAGAAGTTTTTGTCGCGCAGGAAGCAGCGCAAGACATTGAGGTCCAGGGCGCCGCTGTTCAGGAGGTTCTTCCAGTCCATTTGGTTTATCAGCAATGCTTGGACATCTGAAATATGTTTCTCATTTCATTTTTTAATTTTCCCACATTTATAATGGTTTGTAGTACCTTTGGCAATTAGTGTGAAAAAGCAAACCACAACAAGATAATTCATTTTTAGCTGCAGTGGAACCGCGAATTAATTATATCTATTTAAGGATTCAGATATCTGTTGTCCGGGTTATAAATATGTATACTTTATGTTTTTGCAATTTTGCTTTCACTTTGTTTATCCACGTTGAAGTATTACTTTATTTTTTATGGTAATTACTTAACTTTCAATTATTTTTCAAAGGTTATTAATATTAATATTTGTTACTAAAGCCTGGACTTTCTTAACAGATCAATTTAATTTTGTTGTTTCCTTTTCCCACTTGTATTTTTCTTTTCCCAAACCAGATGCCACTCGACATTTTCCGCATAAATTATCCACTCAACGGAAAGTTGCACTCAGATCACATATTTTGATCGTCGATATCCATTTTCTCTCTTTGTTCCATTTCATCACAATCCTTTACATTGAACTAAATATAATTTTGATTGTGTCGCGGCCACATTGGACAACGTCTTGCACATTCGCGCGCGGCGCTGCGAATGCGAAGCGCGAAAAACGCGAACAGGGAAAATGCAGTCTGCGGCGGCACAACGGCAAAAACTGGCCAAGGGGGCTGGCTGGCTGCTCTGCCGCCGCTGGTTGGCTTTGCCTTGACTTTGCCTAGCTACGTGAACGACTTCGGGATCTTGTTGTGGCCGGCTGTCTGCAGTGCGACGTCTGAGTAAGGAAAATCCATGGCACACGCAACGCTGCACTGACTTTGATTATGAGTTACCATCTGAAAATTGATGGTTTTATCTGCCTTTCCAACTCAATGCCATTGCCTCCTTCATGGTGTCTGCGGATCGTAATTCGCCCTTGTTTCAATTTACATAATATGCCACAGGAGTGGCAATGCGAATTCTCGCATTTGACATTATTTCTACACAGTTGCAAAATCTTTATCCATATCCAAATCTTTTTGCACAGCCGCTCTATATAAATGAATGGCTTTTTGGCCTCCACATCGACCTGATGCCTTACATGAGCACAGAGAAGTGAAAGACTGGAAAGTGTTTTTCGCTTAGAGTGGTCAATGTAAGGTCTACATGATTCCGAAAGTAGTAAATGCTTCTTATCTGATACAAAATGCACTGATAAATATTAAGTTTAAGTTATATTTTTCTCTGCCTTCGTTTGAGTTTGAAGTTGGTTTTCTCCACTTAATATTTTGCAAAGATGACACAACTTCAATTGCAGTTGGACCTCACCTGGTAAACAATTGGAATCCTATATACCGCTTGGGACACGTTTCCCATGGCCAGACATAACAATTGAATGGATTTAAATCGAAGTTTCCATTGCGTAAGAAGAACTGCAACGTCTCCATATGATATTTGGCTACAAAAAGAAATCGCGTTGTTTATTTATGCACACAAATCACACTCCTTATCGGCGTTGCGATCTTCCTCACTAACATGCGTCTGCGAGTGGATTCAGGGAAAGTAAAGACAGCAGAACCGTGATAAGACTGGCCATTACTTTAGTCGCACGAAGTTCGCATTTAAGTCACGTACGAAACAGAGACACATCGGGTTAAATGGTAGGCTTCTAATTGACTGCCCCACTAGCTGGAGAGCTTTTTAAAAGCTGCATCCGTCCGCGCAAGAAACGGTAGAAAAACTGCCGAAAATGGCACACACGAACCCGACCCGACCCGGCTGCTGTGTGACATTGGTTTGTGGGGAGTTAGATGTTGTTTGTTTACAGACTTCGGCTTCATGTGCAGAAATGTTGCGTGTAGCCACAAGCCTCGATTTCCATATCATTGCCCACCAGGCTACGCTACACTTAGCAAAACGAAAGATAAACCCACTTCAGTAGATCCAAACGGAAAAAATATATAGAGACAAACTTATCAGTCGCACAAATATTCTCAATAAACTCCAGTGTTCTGTTCTGATAAAACGTGTACTCCTTAAGCGGAATAGTTGATCTTTGTTTTCCATTTTAAGTTAAATAGCATTTTTCTCAGTTGATTTTTTTTCAGCCTAAACTTTCTACAACAAATTTCTCGTTGTGTTTTATTAGCGACGACAGATTTGAATGGGTTTCACAATTCTTCAATATCATTAATTGGCATTCGAATTGCAACACTTGGACACCTGCAGGCTCCAGCAGCATCCATGCACAGGCGCAAAGAATGCGAAGAGTTGCAGGCGGAGCTTTTAACACGGACAGCAAACACATAAATAAATGCAATACAGCAAAAGCTCTGCTGAAGTTGTGCCATTGATCTTGGTGCAATATTGCTTTTTATTGTTTTAAACTATTGTTAACTTTTGGGAACATTTACCAAGCACCTGTAACGTGAGCAAACAATGTTGAGTCCGGCTGGAACAGCTGATTGAATGTAATGAGATCGTTGGCCTTATAACACCGCAAAACGAGGCTAGAGTCAAATAGAGGCAGCCACACATGTAGAGTTTTGATTTATTGTAAGGAAAATGCAAATGCAATTGAAAACGAAAACTGTTGTGAGTTGCAGTGAGAAGAAAAACGGGGAGCACCGCAATTGTTTTACTTTATTTACCATATCTGAGACTCTGTCTCTACTCTTTTTGAAGACGGGTAAATGGATTACAAAATTATTTATTTTAAAGATGGAGACACCAGCTGGACAGCCATGGAAAGCGTATCAAAGATTCGTCATTATCTACTCCTACACCCACCTTTTTGTTGGCGTTTTTCTTTTGTCTGTCATGGTTGCAGACTTCAGCCAATCTGCTTTAACATTTCCACCTTAATTGTGGTTGTTGTTTTTGCTTGGTGCATTCATCTGGCCATTGTTAATGCAGCAAGGTGGGGATTGCATAACAATTTCCCTGTGGCTGCAAGTGATACTGAGCTAGTTTTTATTTGTTTATTACTGAATGTCATCCAATTGCTTTAATGCCAGGCAACTATAATTATTTTTTGCATCTTTATAATTGGACTTGGCACCAAGCAAAACTTATTTGCAAATTTGCTACAATTTTCAATATCATTTGCAACAGAGAAAACAAACAAATTTTTTGGATCTTTCTTTTACAAATTACTCAATTTGAAAAGAAGTAAACCATAACCAATTTTAGTTGAATTTTCGCATGTGCATTTTCAGCAAAGTTTCGTGAAAATTTTGATGCGTTATGAGGCGTAACGTCGAGTAATGATTTTTTGACTGCTTTACTGCTCGTAGAGCGAATATTGTATACTCGCTATGTTTACTATATCTATTAATTACAGGTGTAAATACCGCATTTGATGCCAAGGACAACCTTGGCACTGAAAATTATTTCAAGTTTTACACATTTGAAATGCGCGCCTTCGATAGATTTGTTGACTAGAGACTAGATGTGATATCGAATAATTCGAGTTTTCACTCTGACAAAAGCTGGCCGCCATGAAGCTGGCTGGACTTAGCGCTGACGTTTACTGCATGCATCAAAACTTAAAAACTTTGCTTAAATATTTGATTTGCGATTTCTCACCCTCGCCCAGCAAGCCATTTTCTGTTTCCAATGTTCCTTTCATTTGCTGTTTCTGTTTTCAATTATCCAACCGTTTCAATGCATAGTTAAATCCAAATCCAATTACAATTTAATTTAATTATATTATCGCACAATCCTAGGAGATTCGCAACAAAAAAATGCTACTGAATCGCTTTTGATGCTTATGCAAATGCCAATCAATTTTCCGTTTCCTTGAGAACATAATCAGGAAAAGCTTAGGCCACTTACAGTTCTCTTCGTAGTTTAGAACAGACGCAACCCAGCGATGCTTTTCCACGGCTCTAATCGAAATGAACCATAAATTCCAGCAAGAGAGAGAGAGACAGAGAGAGAGAGTAGAAAACTGCTTGCGCTTTTGCTTTTGTGCTTTTCCTTTGGCTTCTCCTTTGGCCAAACTTTACTAATTAATTGTGCACTTGAGAATTTTAAGCAAACTCTAAAACTTGGCGGAGTAAAAGCCAGTGGGCAGAGGAAAAAAGAGAGGAAGAGATTGCGAATGCGAATGCGAATGTGAGGTGTTTGGCACTGGCAAAGTTGACTGGTAAATAAACTAACAATTTTTCCTACTTAATTAACAAAATTGTTTTAATGCTCCGCTCCACAATCCACAATCCACGCCATGCCCCACGCTCCACTGAAATGCCAAGTGAGGCGTTTGGCGACGGCGACGCCAACGCCAACGCCAACGCCTGTCAACACAGACAGTCGACAGGCTAAATGACTGAGCAAACAGCAACTGAAGCATGAGCAGGCACCGACAGGACAGAGGCAGTGCCAACACAATAATTAAACTTGCAGCAGTCATGAAATGCAGCACCAAGAGAGCTGAAAGGATGCTGAAAGGAATTACCCAATATTTTCCATTATTATCGCTACTCATTCGTGGCTTATTTCGATTGTTATACTTTGTATGCCGCCAGAGCACCAATTCCTTGCATTATCATATAAAGCAGTTTTCCGCCACAGAATCTCGAATTTCGAATGCATCGAATGGACAATATCTCGCTGCTCGCATTGGCCACTTGGCACAACAATAAATCGCGAATAACTCGGTGCAGCGCAGCTTATGAATTGCATTACAAAGTCGCATAAATTGTCGCATTCGCAGTGCGCCAAAGAATGAGCAACAAATCGCCTGGCGCCCAAATGCATCCATCATCAGCAAAAAGTCGCATTCAAAGCGAAAATTCAATCTGATGTCGCGGGTAGAGCGCGAGAGTTATGCGCTCAGAGCAGGGATATTGGAAGGAGCAGAAGGACCCGCGATGGCTGCTTTCCCGGTTGAATTATGCGGACACTTTGACAAGCTCCTTTTCCGCTCAGCTTTTCATTGACTTTTAATGGCTGCGCCTCCCTCGCATTATTGAGATTTACAGTTTATGGATTTATTGGCCAGCCAGAAATGGTTTATGCAAAGCCAGCAAGACGGAGTGAAGGTAAGGAAAGGATTTCCCTAACGTAACGTAACGGCAGAAGTGTTTGACGAATAATTTATAAATTTGATACTAAAAACTATTAATCGTCCCTAGTGTTGTCTTTGGAAGTCTCAAAGCCACTAATAATGGAAAGATTTAGCCATGTTTTTGCCATAAATCAAGCATAATCCGCTCTTCAACGACTCTCAAAGTTTTCAGCTCAATTAGACCATGGGCCAACCCCACTTCCATTTTGAATCAGCTTAAATTTACAGCCTCCAGTGCCTTCAGAAGTCTATCAGCGCAGGATTTACACAAGTTAATTAACACGCTTGTTGTTGCCTAACCCCCAAAAAATATATTTAATGCCCAAGCCGAGCCATTCATAATACGAGCGGGCATATGGGAAGGTCCTTCCCACCTATGTCAACAAAGGGGCGGACAAAAAGGACAATTAAACCCTTTGCAAAAAGCCAAGCAGCAGACAAAGGGAAGCAAATACCAGCCTCTGGGTTGGCTGCGCTGCCCCGGGGGCAGGAGCTGTGAAGGTCGGAGAAAATATCGATGGGCTGGAGAGACCGAGAGCAAGAGGTTGAGCCAGCAACGATTTATTGGATACTGTCGCCTGGGTTTTCACCACATTTTATCGTCTTCGGGCAAACTGATGCAATAAACAAGGCTGTGGCAGAGTTTTCGCATTTTCTTAAGTAAATTATTGCAGAAATCGACAGTCAGTCAGGGAGACAAGAAGGCGCATTCAGGCAGGCCAACAGGAAGCCAACGGAAGCTCAAATGGGCGCAAAAATGTCATTAAACGGCAGCCACGACTGGGCTGCGCCCTTCCATCACCCAACATCCAACATCCAACATCCAACATCCAACACCGCCGGAGTGCGCTGGAGTGCGGGAAAGTTGTTGTTTCCGTTTCCGCCAGAGCATGGGTCCTTCCTTTTGAAATGCCAACGACAACGACAACGACAACGACATTGGTCTCTGCCCTTGATCCATCCGTCCACAGCTTCTGTTCTGTGTGCCTTCTGTCTTGTGGGGCTTGAAGCTCATTTGCGAGGTTGCCGGTGCAAATATTTGCTTAGCCCTTTGCCAACCCGCTCCAAAACGATTATCGGAGTGGGCCGACGGAAGGCTGCTTGCTGTTTGTCTGTTTTCGTTAGACATTTGGCCGATGCTTAAAGCCTTTAATTTTAATGACTCACAGAAAGGGCAAACAAAGTAGCCTGACAGAATACACAAAAAACATTAAAATTATGTATGGATTTTGTGTGTTTCAGGCTGACAACTCGGTTTGTCACTTATCATAGAAATACGAAAATGAAATTATACGTTGCCGGCTGGATGCTCTTGCAGCTCCTCTGGCACTCACTGGAGCAGGAGCTGGTGCCATCTCCCGGTGGCATTTCGAATGTGACCCAAATCAGCGAGGCGAACATCAACAGCACACTGTCCTCGAACGAAGTGGTGTTCCTCAACTTCTATGCGGATTGGTGCCACTTCAGCAGGCGCTTGGCGCCCATTTTCGAGCACGCTGCCACACAGCTGAAGCTGGAGTTTCCAGAGCCTGGCAAAGTGCAGCTGGGACGTGTGGATTGCGTCAAGGAGGTGGCTCTAGCTGATCTCTATGATATACAAAAGTTCCCCACGCTG